TGTTTTTATTTTATTTTTTTCGCCCGCCCGCTCCATTATTTTTCTGGAAAAATCCGTTAACCAAGAAATTAAATTGGTGTGGCCTAACTGTACCTTTGCTGACAAGATGGTAAGCCACAAGGGTGCAAACTGTAGCCCCTCAACTGGAACTGTGGGAAGACACCAGCCTCACGTAATTCACAAACTGTCGGCCTGTTTGGTCCCTCTTCTGCAACTTTGATCAGTAATGTTTTGCCAGGTACGACATCAACTGGTTCTATTGTTATGCTTGCAGAAACTTCGTAACCAGATGCAGCTAGTGCCAGCACATTCTGGTAGACCTGTTGGTGGATAATCTCTTCCTGTGGATCTTGTAATGTTTGCCGCTTGGCCCGTTTTAACAGAACATGATTGTCTGCGGTCTTTGCTCCTGTGTCACGGCGGCGTCTTCGCCGTGCTGGGACTTCTGACGGAGGATTGTTTTCCACCTGCAGTATGGTGACGGTCAGGTTGACCACACCTGCTACTTCTCCTGGCCGAACCCACGGTAGGTCTCCCTCAGCACGCAGTATGACCTGGATCTGGTCTATAGTTACAGTTCCATTCCGAAATGGGACAGAAAACTGCCCACATCCTTGCTGTCGCACTGTAGCAGCTGACACTGCACATTCACGCAAAAGGTTAGCATGTGCCACCTGGTACTGCTCACAAGCTTGTCCTGTGGAATTACATAAAATGTTAAACCAGATTACGGAGTCTGACATTTTTATACAGTCATATAATTAGAGCTTGTACGTGTATATAAACAGATATATGGAATCAGCACCAGATTCCATAGCTTTTATTTAATGTTATATAATACTTACTAGTTTATTTTTACCATGCCATAATGAGAGATGTGACTCAGCTAAGGAAACATGCATGTAAGAAATCCCCTCAGTCAACTTACACAATATGCGAAAACCATTCCCTATAACAATGTAAATACAGTCACATACAGCTATGCACTAGATCAAACAATTTCTATATGATAATTATGTCTCATGCAAATGACAGCTCCTAATTTTACTTACCCTGTAATTCCAAGGTGGCATTTGCTCTGATGGTTCTATTGAAGAACTCTCTCTCCTCAGCAACACAGACATATCTGGTAAAACAGAAAAAAAGGAACATAAATTGAAACTCTATCTGAATCATTTAAGTTTGTGAAAAAACGACAGTAGCAATTGATCTTCTACCATGATAACTTTGTACTAAACAATCTTAACTTATAAGCAAGCCCATATGGGCTGGGCAACAAAGAAAAGTCGCAAGACACGATAAGAAAATTTCATTCATTCATATAGTTAAGAATGGAGCTTATCTCTCATCTTACTTTCCCGTATCAGCTGGAGACAGGGGATCAAAGACGATTGTGTTTCCGCTTGAGTTTGTGAACAGGGTGCGTTTCCGCAGCCATTTGACAGAGGGCGCCGGGTTGCCACCTGTGATACAGACCAGCCTGGCAGGTTGACCGACCGACCCCGCCACACGAGATGTGATGTACTCAATACTGGGGGGAACTATGAAAAAAATGGGAGAAAGATACAAAGAGGTCAAACATCTATTTGCCTGCAAAACTGTTGAAATTATGAAAAAAACATTCAACTTGGATGTATTATCAACTTAAAGGCATTTCGATCAAATTTTGATCATTACAGAAATTACTGTTACTATTTGTGCAGCCTTTTGGCAAATCAAGACTTTAGTGTCAAAACTGATGATGAGAGTGTTTGGTGGTGTTATTAGGTACACAGGCATTGCTCACCAAAGCATTTGCTGTATCGCCCAAGAAAGTGTCGGTCCAGTTGAATGTCTTGGCATGTCCCTGCTCCTCCTTGTTTTTCAAGTTCAGTCCTCCAAGCACTGAAGGCCCTCAGGCATGCTCCATTGTAATCAAAGGACTTTGGCTGAAAGTTGCAGCTGACCTGATACAGCTGTGGTGTACATACATGACCAAGATAGATAGGAAATCATTAGCTACTAGTACTACTACATTGGTTACATACATATAAATAATGAGTTGATTGTACTTTATGTCACATACTTTCAAACAAAACATTTTTCCATGTATTCTTGGGACTTTCCACAGTCTTAAGTTACACTCAATGTAGTTGCCATAAAGCACTTTGTTCAGCTATGATCAATAAAAAATGTTTAAAAATCAGTAATTTTAAGTAAGTTTAAGAATCATCACATATAGACAATGAATGACCATATGCATAAATGCATAATATACAAAATGTACATGTGTGAAAGTAATCATACTCTTTCTGGCAAGCACAAATAGGAATGGACCACAGCTTAATGTCCTGTCCTTAAGCAACCCTTTCTTATTAGAGTTGGGTTAAGTGGGTTAAGTGACAAACTCTCAGCCTCTAGAGTAAGAAGCAGAGTTGCTAACCCTTAGACATGCATGCATGTATCATACCAAGTGAAAACCAACCGTGATGTTGAGTCCCACACATGATGAACACTGCTGGATGAGAGGCCCTTCGTTAATCCGCATATGTAGAGTGATGTTCAGGACTTGGTTTTCCTGTACTGCCAGTGGTCTGGGGAACACCAGCTCAAGTGGAGTACTGCTGGGAACTTGGGGCACCTGAAATAAAAAACAAACTCATTAACAGAAATAGAGAAATAAAATCCATCATGTATAAAGAATACAGAAGGCACTTTATGTGCTGTTGATTGCTGTGATCTTGATTATAATTCTGTTATTTTTGATTTACTAAATGTGTGCCTGGTACATGTATCATATAGACATAAATATGTCATAGATTTGCATGAAAGTTCATCTGTGTTGGTACAAGTCATTATGAAATAAAGACTAAAGAAAATTAGGGGTAAGTCCTAGTATAACTGTAGTCTAAGTGTTCAAAAGTTAAAGCTTAGTCTTTATTTAATACCGTTATAGATTAGTATAATAGCAAGGAATTGACACTGTATTTAAAAAAAAGTGCTGAAGACTATAATAGCAAAATTGTTTTTTCAGTTTTCAACAATAATCATGTAAAATGTAGATATAATTTCATTCACACAATAATCTCCTGTAGCCCTTACCAGCCCAGAAGCATCTGCCATGACAGGTTCCCCATCTAGGTTGTATGTGACTCGTGCCTGCAGGACCTGTGGTCCCAGCTCTCGAATAGTTGTGTGGTACGCAGTGAACTGAATCCAGTTGACTGTAACCTTTACAGATGGAAAGAAAAAAGATTATTTTATTTTGTTTATTAATAAAGGAGATCAGTCTTATATTTCATGATGTGCCATATATGAGATACTTGTATTACACTGAAGAACATGTGTCCCACAAGGGTCAGAAAAAAGATATTCAAAATCATCATCTTTGAATTCAAATCTGCCTTTATTTCAATACCAACCTATAAGATGTCCTTTGAATGATTCAAACAACAAAGTATGTTATCTTTAAAGATCATCTGACATGTATCATTGAAAATAATAACCAAATTGAATGTAAGTTATCCCTTACCAACATGGCTTCCATGTCAAGGCCTGGATTTAGTCTTTGTCGAGGCACTGTAACACTGTAAATACCATCTCGTCCAGGCTGGAAAAATATTTTTAAAATGTTACTAGTCATTAATGATATCAACTCCAACTCTTACATTATACAACTTTATACATTCTTATGAAGTTGAATTATGCTAGAGAAAACTATCGTTATCACAATAATTCTTCTTCAACATGATAACACTTTCTGTCTTTTACTAAAATTTAATGCAATTCATCTGCATGTAGAAATAGCATACCATTTTTTTATTAAGTTGACTTCTGTGGCTGTTCAAGCAACTCACCTGATTTGCATATGGCTGGATGTCTATGGCACATGATCCTTGCATTGTTTGAAAAAGATTCTGGAGAGGCACACACGTGGGATTTTCTGCAGTCAAACAACAGAGAAAAAAACACATGTTGCTTGTTCATATTGTGATGATATTACTTAATGATATTACTCGTCATGCAACACAAGAAATTAATTATGTTCCTCCATATGTCATGGACTTGTCATGACCAGGTGAGAGGGCTTATCATATACCTCAACATCTACATGTACTTCTTTACTTTACTTTATTTCTTTATTTCAGGCATAACTCGCCAATATACAACATACATATAAAATACACACACAATTACATCAGTAAAAGAATAATATGACTATATGTACAGACGGGCCCAGTTATTGCGAAAGAATCTGCTGCGGAATATCACTTCAGATTTAAGAACAGATTGGATAATGTTTGAGGACTTGTATAGACGGGATTATAATGAATGAGTAACATTGTTTACGCCATGTAGCATCAAATGTGTCAATCCTATTGTAGACAAACAACAAAGGAAGATTTCACACCTATCTGAAAACCCTATACTTTTAAGAAGGTTAAGATATGTTAATTGGTTGGCAAAGTACACAAATGTATCTCCTGCCTAACTTCTGCCTGAGGGGGTGAAGTCTGCTATCTCTAGATCTGATTGCTTTGTTCAATTGGAGAGTCGTATTCTCTGACAAATACTAGTACTTTTCAGTACCTGATTACTACTTATTATGTTAGACAAACTACTACTAGAAAGAGAAGTAAAAGATATTAGATATTGCAATTAGTAGATACACTGCAGGAATACATGTAGTAGTGTTGTGCAGGAAATAACCTGTATGTAACTAAGTATGTACTTAGTTCAGTGAAGGCTTTAGTTTTATCAGAGAAGGAAGTTTTGGATGTCTGGACAATACTGATCGTACAAATGGAGATGACAATGAAAGTGAAAGGGTTGAGACTAGCAGGGTGTGGTCAATTTTCTGTCATGCCAAGTAACAATGAGAGGTCAACTTGATGATTAATATTCCTTCTTGACAAGTGAATAACAAGCTGGGAGTCTTGAGAAAATCATTTTCCGTAATCATGTGATGAAAACTGCACTGCCAAGCTTTCTGTAACATCTTAAGTGATGCATCACTGCCCCGATCCAAGAGCTTTGGAATATTTAACAAAACAGTTGCAGTGGAAATTGAAAGATGATATCAAGTTTAACAAAGTTAATCTCTCAGATAATTTACCACTGAAGTAGAATTTGTGGAAACCCCATAACTTTTATTTAAAAAAGGCATGTCGACAAAAACACCACAATTTTGTCCAAGTTCAGGTGGATACTGAAAGGTTTGATGATACCTGTGTATAAAGAGAATCACTACCCATTTTTCTCCAACTAGAATTACTAGTCTCTGAATGGCTTAGACCTTAAATCCTACAGAACATAAGCGTATTGTACATAAGACCAGTATGAGTTTGCTGGTACGCACCCTGGCACAGAACCGGTTTCACCGCCTACTGAGTCACACGACAGGCATGGCTTAAGTGCTTTTAAAAGGTGTGCACATTTGTGCTTTCGAAGGTAAACCATACGAATACACAAACGTGCATAACCAAAGACAAAGCTACTTTGGACATAGATATAATACATGTACTTAGGATAGTTCCTCCACAGACTTCTTACAAACACGTAACGTGCGTCCGTTGTGCAAGACACTGCTTCTATACATGTACCTGTGCACGCAGGTAAACAAAGCCGTCTCAATATCTTCCCACGGCCCATTTTGTCTCGGAATTTGCTAATTGGCTACGTTGCGTTCATTGTGGTGACAAAATCCCTTCCTTTACTGTTGTAATGACCAAGGAGGTTAAAGAGAATTCCCTGTGACCGCCTTGAAATGGCATTGCCATTAGGAAAAGCCAGTCAACGCCTCTGAATTCAGCAAAAAGTATCAAATACAACAGAACACCACTTCTAATGAAAACCCACCTGGCGTCGTCTTCGGTGTAGCGGTTTGTTCCTGTCCGAAGACGGTCGTGTGCGATCCCAGGAAAGATGACCCCACCAAGAACAACAACGCGAGAACAATCGTCGTGCAAGAACTGGCCATTTTGTCTGGTTCTAGTCCTCAGGGGGACCGGAAGCGGACTGAGCGAGTGTCCAACACAGGTGAAGACGGGCAGCGGCGCGGATCCCCAAACAGACCGCCTTAAAAGTGCTGGTCTGACATTCCTAAGGGGCACAAGTGAGTGTCCGACTCGGGCGGCGATCAGTGAGCAATCGTGGATCCCAAAACAGACAGCTGAAAGCTAGGCGTTGGTCTGAATGTCTCACAATAGTAGGGTTGGTGCGCCTTGCGGCCAGTCTGAAACAGAGCCTAGCCCGAACTGGCACCGCAGCTTGTGGAGCGAGTTCAACGACCTCAGGCAAAACTCACCGGGACTGTCATTATTTACTGTAAATCCTGTTAGTCTTCGGTAGCAAGTATGAACAGAATGTTAAAAAGACCATATTAACTGGAATTCCCGCGACAATTATAAAGACCGACGGAACGAACTTTTAGACCAAATAGTTTCCTCTGTCGGTAATATATAAAGGAAGGTTCCAGCAACTGATGCTCAGGTAAAACAAAGCAATGATTTACTGCAAGTCTCGGCTTACAGTAAATTATGCATGAAGCAGACGAGCCACACCTTCCCAACACACCGGACGCCGTTTTTAGATCTATCCACCACGCCCAATATTTAACACCTCAAAGCCTCTTGTTTACGTTTTTGCGCCTTGTTTACTGCTTCCTATTTTCCCATTGACGTCCCTTGATCCTACCTCTAGATAAAAACCAAACACCTTAACGAAGTATTAAACAAAGCTAACTTTTATTTCCAAGAGTATCTGAATATAGAATTTTAAAAAAGTATTTGAAAGTTTCATGGTTATCGAAATTCCATGCTACATAACAGTGGAGATAAAGAAAAACGGTTGAGATAATAGCGTCCCGAGACATCAGCTAAATTTAGGTACAAGTAATGGTCTCCACTTATGCCCCAGGGGGTCTTAAGGATTACTCATAAACCACGGTGTTTAGCCTTGGCGACTCCAAAGAAAACCATGCACAAAATAACAAGAACTAACGGAGTAACTCAATGGAGAGAGAACTCAACTCATCATACATTTTAAAAAAGTTTCTTAACGTAATCAATGACTCTTGTGAGCCTAATCAAAGAGTTTTTTTCCGCAATGGTTAGAGCAAGAACTACAATGTCATTATCAAACATGAATATCTTGAATGACCGGATTGATTTAACAATGATACGAAAATGCGAAAGACTGCACCATTCCAATATTCACTATAGTATCAATGACCTCTGATTTTGCTGCCATCCGTGACTATGCACAATGCCTTGGTCGATAATCATCCAGGTGTGGCTTAGGGAATTCCACTCCAGTGAGCTATTAGGTCGGGACAAAGCCGTATGAACATATGAACTACGCTGGCGCCCCGGGCTATGTCAGGCTGTTAGCCCTCTCAAGGGACAAACATCAAAGCATATGGATCATGAATTATTCTCTTATGAACCAACCAAGTTACCAAACACTTCCAAACTTTCGAAAAAAGGGAGGCTTGGGCATGTACACTATGATGCAATGTGGCGAGAAAATGTAGAGAGATATAAACGGTAGGATGAAAAGATGCCTTACCTTGTACCATAAAATTGGCGTTGCTCTTAATCGGGGCAGAGCTACCAAGGGAACCCTGTGGAAAATGAAACAAGATCTAGATGGAGCTACCATTTCAACCGACACACGCACTGGTATGTGAAAAAGATGGAATTAGACGTCTAGACTAGATTTTTACTGTGGTAGGTTCTCGATTTAGATGAGAAGGGGAACAGAACTCCGCTATTTATTTTTTTTTTGCATACGCACAGCTTGAAAGTACCTGAAGTACAACTGAAGCACGTATACGTTCAAGACAAAAACAAACCAGAAACAATCGTTGGCGCAGAGAAGAAAGGAAAGGGAAAATATTATTTACTTACTTACCTAGGCCTACTGCCCATCTGCTACTGCCCATCCTTGGGCACAGGACACGGACTACATTATGACGGTCAACGTGAATGGAAAATGTTTTGTGTCAATGTTAAGCAATATGGTACACTTACGATAGATTTCTTGGAGACGGAGAAAAACTTCGTGGGATTGGCCTGAACAGACAGAGTGATCGGATATTCTACCTGTGGGAAAAAGAGACGTCCTCTTAGAATATATCAATTGTTCCTTACGGCGATCATACAGAAATGTTGGGAATTAAATGTACGACTTTGGCTACAGAAATGAATAAACGTTATCTCTCCGTTTTTCTTCCAACCATCGCACGCAAATCATAATACTAGTATATACCCTTTAAGATTTGGGAAAAGATCAACAGGGACGTTATTGACGACATCTGCTTGAGTAGTGTAGATGTTCCCAGGATAAAGACAGCCATGATATATTAACGCCGTTATGAAAAATTATCAACACTTACCATCTGACCAGTACTTTCCACCTTACATCTGAGGATCGCCTATACAAGACACAGAAACATAGATCAAGTTCCTGGATAGAGTGTTGAATTTCTATTCCTTGATACAATAGTTATATATAACGGTTACATGTATTGGCTTCACAAATTCACTTAACTACATGAGTACTACAAGACAACTTGAATGACAACTTGAATGGCATTTCTGCTGACCATAGTGTTGTTTAGTCGGTTTATTTTTACTTCCTCAGCTCCCGTCTCCGACAGTACCAGGACAGCCCGGTGTTCTGACGTCACGTTCAAGTCCAGGTATTTCTTCTTCACGTTCCCCCTGTCCGTGTACGTCACGTCTAGTGTGACGTCTGTGTCAAGTCTACCTGTCAGGAAAACGGAACCTACAGGTGTTCCTGGAGATAAAGGAAAGTCATGTTGATTTTGTTGTGCTATTTTTAAGGCAAAAATCATTCTATTACAGCATTATAATAGGCTTAATCTAGTTAGAGATGTCTGAGTCTAAGTCAAATACTAGTATACATCTTATTAGTATACGCTAATTTAAGGTAGGTTTTAGGAACTATTCATTCGTCATAGCAACGTTACATCTCTTGTCATTGAATGATAAATGTAAATACGTCTTGCATAAGTCACATGAAATTATGTAGGGGACTCCAGGGGTCAATGTTCATGACTCCATATCGTGTATCTTTGTATGTTCCAGTTGATAGTACAACAAACTCCGAGGACAAAACAAACAGCACCATTCACCTGTAGCGGAATTGATTGGTACTGCAATATCAAGAGCGGTCCGTCCATCTCTCAACATACAGGGCTTTGTTGTGTTTTTCCAACCTGCATGTACAAAAGAAATGAATCTGCTAAAGACATAGCTATACCCTTTATAACTTTATAAGACATAACGATCAAAACGAGCGACCAAAATTGGATTTGATCATGAATTGAGTGATTCTTGATTTTTGGAACGATGTAAAAGTAACGGGCCATGTCCTAACTTGAGAGGTTCCAATCTTGGGACAGCCGATATAGTCAGCGATATTAGAATAGCCCTGACAGAGAACTCTATTCAGCAAGAACATATTCAAAATACAATACCTAGCGTATTTGACTACATGCTAGGATATTTTCGTTCAATTTTTTTCTGTGTCAATACATCAACGTAGAAAGATCTACACCATACATCGGTAGCCAGAGCTCTTGGCATAAATTACTAAATTGAAACAGCAAGAAACCTATTACGTACCCATGGTAAGTTGTTGTCTGTCAGTCCCGCTGTCAGCACTGCAGCCACCGTTCGCTCCGAACAGTACGTACTGGATCAGGAACGGTGCTAACACCGAGAAAAGGCACCGGACCATCGCGGAAAGTATGATGTTTCGTCTCTTAAACGCCGAAAGGACTAACCTCTCCCACCGTAAGTTACCAGCAGCTTACTGACGAAACTACTGTTCAAGAACGATTTAGCAATATTCCTGTTGGCAGCCTTTTAGTAAAGGCTGGAGAGGTTACACCCAAAAAATATCTGCCTACACAGTGCGTTTTATCCCGGGAAGAGACTCCTACGAAAAAATGGATCCGTCCAGAGGTTTCGTCTCCCAGAATCTACGTCATACCCATTGTAAAGCCGACGAATGCGTTAATTACAATTGTCATGAAGGAACAACAATAGTCGATACACTTGGTTAAGTGTCCTCATCAATTGAACCCGAATGGAAACTTGTATGTAGGACATCGCGACACAGTTCTAGTTGTGATATATAACTTTCTAATTCAGTTATTGTAATGCCGCCACAGTACTTTGTAGACTTTGAGTTCGACTGGAGATTTCTAATCGCTAAGGAACAAACCAGCACTATGCCAAGAATGCGAACCGTGATTCTTGCTGGTGGCCAACTGTGTCAAAGTGTTCTTTTGTCTAGATAATAACTCCAGGACAGTTTTAGGACATCGAAGAAAGATAGGCTGTAGACCAAAGGACATAGCATATTGTGTCGGCCTAGCTCGAAAATCAATTGAAACGGTGACGTATTCAGAAGGAGCACTGATTCTTGTTGATACAATAATATATGTATACAGTCATCCAATATCAATTTAGCCACCAGCTACTATGCGTTCACTAAGGCAGTTAAGTTTTGTTTTTTTTTTTCTCTATAAAGACCTTGGCATATTCGTTCCGAGTAGAATAGATTTAAAATGGAAAATTGAGGGCATTCTACTACAGCTGTTGTGCGATAAAAACGTTTGTAGATCTTTTCCAACTGACTGTTCTGTTAGCCTCTACCAGGCTCCGCGGATCGCTGGGTCGCAAATTGGAGCTTCTATGGCCGGCTGGATCTTCTCTGGTATACTATCCCTTTATTTCGGCCCATTTCTACTATTTTTCCAGCGATCCGCGGAGCCTGGTAGAGGCTATGTTCTGTCACAGCCTCACTGAAAGCGAACAAAAATCATTGAGAAATGTGAGAACAGCCTTTCCAGACGGGACGAAACAATTTCCAACCGCGCCTCATGGGGCCACCCAATCATTATCCCATTATTTTCACCATTTAGAATAAAGCCTTACTAAAACCTATTTTGGGGGCAGGGGAGTTGGGGTCTGAATACCGTTGCCATGGTCACAGCGCCATATCCCCGCGTCATTGGTTCATGTATTGTACGGTGGAGCCGTTGCCAAGGCGACGCGAAGAGAATCACACATGCTCGCCATAGTCATGACGTAATACCATCTATTTTTGGTGAGAGTAGTATTGGATGCATACCTCGTGACGTCAAAGGTGGTAGAGAACAAGAAAAGGTCAGAAAATGAAACAGAAGCGATGGCAAGACAGTGTGTCTGTCCTGTTGAGCAAATCAAGATCCCCCGCCCCCCAAAAAGACAGAATTCTTTATTTTGTTTTGATGCATGTAAGTTTATATTTCTGGATTGGAAGTTGGCATTTATAAAATTATGGGGGACCATCCGGACACATTCCTAGTATCCCGCCCGATCGCGGTCTCAGTTGCCGTATCCAACACTCTCACATCATTACCAAATATATATTAGAAAACAAAGGAAGTTTTTCTAGTCCCTTGAAATTTCAAAGGGTCAGCTTTAACTGTTTAACAATATGCAGAAAGGGAAAAGGCAAAGGAGGCTGAACGTGGTAAAATTGCGGCACGGTTCGCGAATTTGGAGCCGCCTCCGTTATTATACTGTATAACGCCGTTGCCTTGTCCTTGGTGCTGAATCGCCTTCACACAAATTAGCTATTTACAGTTACATGTAGTACATTACCGATCCACAGCTGTCTCACGGCGTTCAACAACTTACTATACGTCTTCTGATTTGCGACTTCATGTTTTTGTTGTTTGACAGCGATTTAATCATCATAATTCTGATCAAGTATGATATTCAGAAATCATTGTAGGTTCTGATCTGCGAGTGAAATGATTTAGTGTTCTGCTGCCCTCTTCTATTGATGTACTGAACAAACTTCTGTGTTACTTGCTCGTATATTCGCCGCTACGTAGCGCTTGTAGACTTCTACGTGGCATAATTATTTTAGTAATACACATCTACAAGGAAATCTAAAGAGACGACAGGTTTTTAATATTTTTTTGTTGATTTCGTTCTGCTTCCTGGTTACAGCTGTGTTGTATTCATTAACGTGGTTACTTTCCGCCTCGGTGGAATAAAACATATTGCAGAAATGTACTACCCAAATTAGCGGCCAATTAAATGTACTAGAAAACTAGAAAAGGCACCTACTTGAATATGCGTAACTTAAGCACTCTGTTGAATATATGTTAAGATTAGCTAAGAGATGTGAACTATACATTTTAGATGCAGCTACGCTTCGCCAAAACTTGCTGGGACGTTTTCATAATGATTTTTATAAAAATGGCCGAAAGGTTCCCACAAGTTCGGACTCTTTTATGTCAAGCTATGCCTCCACCTGTCGAAACTGTTGATGTCAAACCTTAATCCTGATTTTGATCAGCCACAAGGACGATTTTGGCTCCAAATAGGATAGGAGACATTCTCAGGGCTAAATATTGGCCAAATATCATTAACAGCTTCCAAAGCACTTTTATCTATTCTAACACAATTCAAATGTTTATACACAGCCATAAAACAACAATCTTAATGCATAACTAATTAATTAATTAATTAGTTATGCATTAATGCATAACTATTGTTATTTGTAGGAAACAAATGTACAATGAAATCAGTTATTAGGCATAGTCACACAATAGCATCAGCTTTATTCATCCTGATAAATCCACAAGTATCATTTATTTAATATTTTCCACACAATGCCTTTGATGCATATTTCATTTCATGACGTTTTGTATGAATTGGCCTTCTTGGCCAGAGTACTTTTGGAAGTCATTAAAAGTAATACAACAACATATACATCTCATGTCATCATCACTTCTACTGGACCAACAGCAAACAAGATTTGTAACTGCCTCTTAAACCCTACACAATATATGATGTTTTGAAGGTTGCTAAAAATCGCATCTTTCACTAAAATATGAACAGAAACTATCCAAATTCTGCAATCTGACAAAAAATAGCAAACTGATGCCTTTATGAACTTCAAGATAGATAAAGGCATCAATTATAATTATGTGCAGTAAGGCAAGCTTACATTCTATTCTCAGTATTGGCTGGGTGGCATTGGTTTGCCTGTCTAAATGCTTAGGCCAGCAACTGGCCCCTTGCTCCCTCTGTGAGAAGTCTCCATGTTCTACGGTCCTTGGCCCTTTTTCCAGCATTGGCTCACCAGGCAATTTATAATGTACTAGCTAAATGGGGAGCTACATGTTATGACATAGAGACATCTTGGAAACTTTACCTATGAACAAATAAACTACACTGTATACAGTAAAGTAACACATCATAAGTTTACTGTCACTGTGGTATACTGCTACAATTATGCTAAATGCTAGTCAAAATCTACATACACATTTATGAACGCTAACATTCGCAATTCACACAAGACTCCTTATTTTTGGACACACTTTGGTACATTTTGGTCGCTTCAACATTGGATTTTACCATCATATATCTAAGAAGGATTTTCCACAAAGTCCAATACACTAAAGAAACATTCCAAAGGAAAATCATCATTCAAGTTATATTTTACACATCTTCTTTCACATATGATAACAGTACATGGCAGTAGACAATGTCATTTTATGGATGTATAACATTCAATAATAACATTAATGAAAGAACTGAGCTAGCATCATGTAAACTGCATCAAAACGACCCTGTCTACCTTAAAAAGGATAGCTGCAATCTTCTTTTATGAAAAGTATTCTGGCACAAATCATCGCATCTTTCTCTGCCCTTAACTGGCTTAAGCCCTAACATTACTCACAATGTAGCTTAACGATAACTTCAGATCAAATTCATTATTTAATATTGGTCATAACACCCTTCCCTTCATAATCATTATGGTCTTAAGATGTAAACACAATCATGAACAAACTTGGTGAATGAAGATTGTCACAACTGAACCAAAATACAAGACATACGTAGAAACTACAGAAAATTGTAATGTTTGCATGTGACGTCACAGCTGCCATGCTACATGTACAATGTAGTTAACCCGGCAGAGTCAGAGCTATGAATTTGCACATAATTACACACAACTGTAACGACATGGAAAAATTCTCCTGAAAATTTACTTCTGAATCACTACCTGGAAATGACCAGATTGAACCAACCAACGTGGAAGACAATACAATGTACTTACATGTACGTCACAGCCATGAGAAAAAAACACCCTATAACTCAGAAATTCTGCACCAGCTTTCTTTACAAATGGGCTTTTTACACTGATGATCCTGTTGGGTAGCAGCTCTACATGTCAAAACATTCCTTGAGGAAGTTGGTCATCTTGTTGTACAGATGTTTCCTTGTGCTCCGTATAGCATGGTCCTGGTCTGTGTAAAACTAAATGAAAATGAAAACAAATGTTGAGATAAACAGTACAATAGTGCAAAAATAGCAAAAGGACTGATTCCCCATGGAACTTCAACAACCAAAAGAAAGACCATCTCTTAATTTCATTACACCATAAAACTGACAAAGGCAAGCATATGCATTTATCTTGTCAAAACTTTTCTACTACATTTTGAGGTTATATCATAGTTAAGTCTCTGGTATGGTAATTGACTGATGAACATATTTTTTGTGCTAGCTTGACATTACCTGTAAGTCGAACTCTACTTCTGCTTTGGCTAACGCATCGACCAGGTCCGCTGTGTGCTGGAAATGTACATTGTCTATAGAAAAAGGAATAAGAAACAGGAAATAAGATTAATAAACCATGGACCAGTTACGTATACTCAATGAACACCAATAAAATATTTATTTGAACCAGTGCAATGGACTTTCTCTTCAACAGCAAAAACATTGTGCAACTTCTTAAAAACATGGTCCTGCCATTAAGTATACACATGTACCTAGTATTTCACAAAATATCCCTTCAAGATAAAACATGGTCTGGGACTCCCAACAAACACTCACAACTGGATTTCCATCAAAATAATTACTCGTACATAATGTTAGAAACATTTTTATTTTATTTATTCAAAATTGCGACATGACAATACAAAGTGTGCACTAGGCAGCAAGTATGCTGATAGCGTGCACACCCAACACATACCTGTACATATGACGTAAAAAACAACAACAATAAATAGTTAAAGCAAGATTATACACAAGTATACAATTTTCAAATAAATTACACCTATAATTAAAATCAATTATTATATAACTATACAGCAAAATGAATGTTAAGTTAGGCTCAGTTGGAAGAGGCACAGAATCTTTTGATTGGGCAATGAATGTGTGGAGTGCATGTGTGAGTTTTGTATTTGTATCTAAGCTATGACCTGGAGAACCCTGGAGCAGAACAGATGTGGTTAGGTGATGTTGAGTAAGGTGTTCAACAGTGGAGGCAAGGGTGTTGCGTGGCTCAGTGTGGAGAGGGCAATGTAACAAGTAGTGTGGTACTGTTTCAGAGGGGGCACCACAGGCACACGTCTTGTCTTTAAGTTTAAGGCTCATTTTGTGCAGGGTGCAATTAGAAACATTTCACTGTTGACTCACCGTCGCCTGTCCCATGAACCAGTAGAAATTTTGCCTTTTTGAAGTTTTCCACCTGATGCATTACGATTGTGTCCTGCAAGGAATAGAATAACTTCAGCAGAATATACCACCACCCAGCTAGTTGAAAATATGAAGCTGGCCTGCTTGAACTGTTTTAGATGCCATAATAAAGTCATACTTGGTGATTTAAAAAAAAAATGATGCCCCGCCTAGGTGGTATAACTTTCAAATTAGTCAAAGTAATTGACATACACATATAGCAGGTATACGCTTTATCTCAATACACAATGGACACCACAAGAGTATATAGTATATTATGTGCACATGTGCAGTGCAATAATTGGATGTCATACTTACATTGTAGCCCTTTTCATTATCTTGAGGGTGCTGCATGTATCTCTCTGTGTACACAGAATCTGTATAATAAAGACAATTGCAACATCTTTTAATACCTTGTAGCATGGAAGTTAGCCATTTGGGGACTTTCAGAAAATGAAGCAGAACATACAAAGTACAAAAGTGTTGAAGACTGGCACATGGGCACATAATGCTATCTCATTGCAAGGCTTTCTGATTATAGGGCAAAAAATTATATGCAGTTGGTTCATCTTATATTGTAACTATACAGATAATTCAATGATATCTATTCTTTCTTATTTATATATTAAATGGCATAATATAATGAAGGAATTGCATATACAAAATGTACTGAAACCATCTACAAATGTACACCAAGTCTAATGTACTTGTCTAAATCACTAATTTTGAATAGATCTTCAGCATTCCATCTTGTATGGAATGAGAAATTCCATACAAGAATGCTGACTCACCGTAGTAGAGATAGTCTGTTACAGGAGCAACTGCGATGCCACACTTGAAGACATCTGATCCACGTCCAATCACGTGTGATGTTACAAAACCACCATAGGACTATGTGCAACCCAAACAAAACATTTTTATACAACAACAAATTCAAAACAACGGAACATCCTAATAAGGCAATAAAGATATTACTTTGTCCATTATGTCCAGAATTATCAAGTTAGGTGAGATTGAAATTGCTTGTCCTGGTATTTTCCATTGAATGATATTTACATCTTAAGGTGAAAAAGAAGGCTACAGGTTTGCCTTTCACACTTACCCATCCCCAAATCGCCATCCTGTCTTTGTCAACATATCCAAGGTTTTGAAACTGCCTGTGACAAAAGTGACCAAAAGTATGTCTGTTACATGTATTTAGACAATGTTGCATTTAGCTATATATTGGCAGCAAAAACAACCATGCATTTCACTTTTCAGCAGTAATGACAAAAAAAAGGAACTAGAATGTAAAGTAAGTTTATCAATGAATATTTGGTTGTTCACTGGAATTTACCTTCCAGCTTCGATTTGATCCTCCACTTCGACTGTTCCCATTCGTCTGTAGATCTCATGCAGAATTCTCTCCCCCTGGTATCCAGAACCTCTGCCGTCAAAACTGGCCACGATGATCCCCAGACTGCTGGCCAGGTATGCTGTCCAGTACAGCCGGAACTGTTCATTCACCTTCTGACTGTATGGACCAGCATACCTGTATATACACAAGGGGGCAAACCATCTCAGTCAATAGAAAATAAATCATGAAAACACTGAGATATAGACATTGCCAATTGTGTCTTTCTGAAAAGCAACAACTTATTTGTCCTGAATAGATAAGAATATTTGTGAGAAAAGAATTCCTTTAGAGCATTAGGATGATGCATGTCTAATATAAGGTTATAGAGGAGATCATTGAATGTATATCATGCATTTTGAATTAATTTTTATAATTTGTTAGATGTTAGATCGGGGAAAAATGACGTTAAAACGGAAAAAAAAATCGTAAGCATTTGGTGGGTGGGTGGTTGAAATTAATGTTATGGTATTGCATTACAAATGTTTCTGAACTTACTGCAATGTGAATCATTTTTTTTATACTTACACATCAAAAAGCACTGGATACTTCTTCCCCTCATCAAAGTCTGGTGGTAGAAACATTTCTGCCCAAAGATCTAGCAAAAGAAAAATCACCATAACATGAGTTGAAGAGCCAGTCATATTTTCATATTACATGGGTCCCACTAGTACATGTAGTAAAATGTGGTAAAAAAGTTTGGAGGTCTTAATACAAATTTAACTTCAATTCGAATGATCACTTAAAAATGATAAAAAAGATGACTTCTATGTATGCATCATATTGACATGTTCAAAAGACTGTGCAAGGTGATGAAAGCAAAATTTTCACCCATATTCCTCAATTTTCTTACTGAGGGTCAGGAATAAACATGGTATAACTCTGACTTAAAGTTCATGAAGAAACTTTTTTTGAAAAAGAATATTTTGCGACTAACCGTAGCCTGAAACTCTGAACTGCTGGTATCTTTTTATGGGCATACGTGTCTCGTCTATGGTGGTTCGAAGTTCCTCATTGTATTCAAGAAGAACGTCTGAAAAACAAAAACAAAGTAACTATAACTGATAGAAATGTACATGTAAAGAGACCACATCAGTGGAGTAGTTATGGGGGCTAAGTTATGGATGTTTCCAGTAGAGATGAATCCACATTAGGAGGAATATAGCTAAAAGGCCATTCCTAATTTGACTAAGCTAAACAAGAAAAAATAGCAGTACTCACAATTGTCAGTTTGTGCCTTGTTTAGGGTGTATATTGGGACACCAGGACCTATAGGTGAGGAGGATGTAATAGTGTAATTGGCATAAAATACACCATTAAATCAGACAGGTGTAGTTCAATGCATGGACTCTGACGTATTTGGGAAACTAATTTATGTTGTGTAAATTTAACATGTAGAGTCAATCTCTGCTACGTCAAAAGCAACTGAAGAAACCGAATGAATAAAATGAGTGGAAGCATACTCCATACAGACAAATATATTCTAGATCTCTATAATCCTCTAAAGTTATGAGAGTTATAGAGGGTGTACCTCGACAGTTGAGTATGTACCAGGAGGCATTTTTGCTGAAGTAGGCATTGTAGTAGCCACAGTCATCCCACAGGTCACAGCTAAGGCACTTCTTACTGTCTTGGTTACCAACGGTTACGCTGGGGGACACATCACATGTAGTTTTAGTAATTTTATTATCTTTCTACAACTGTAATTGTGTATAGAGCCCATTCCAACAGTAGCTGTCTGATACACTAAACTACAAAATATTACATGCTCTCACTCAGAAGCATCAGATAAAATCTCAACCCAAGAACACCAACCCTCTTACCTGTACACATGTCTCTGTCTTGGAATTTCCTCGTTGCTGATAAAATATCTACAAGAACAGAGAAACAATTTTAAAATAAGTTGTTTCTTCTCACATGGCCATTGCAAACTCATTTTGACCATGTATGCAACCAAGGAAGACCCTACATGTATATGATGCAACCAACACTTTATCTAAAACATTAAAAGCTATAACAACAGTAACTTCATATATTCACATTCAGAATTTGTTGTGGAAAGAACAACAGAGTAATAATATACATGTATCAAGCAAAAGTCCTGAAGGTTGGCAAAGGTAGCCATGAGATGACACTAATGGTACTTACACAATCCTGTTAGCTTCATCATAGCTGAGGATACTGGTGACTTCAAACTGTCCTGTTGTCAGCCACTGTCGTGACGCTTCACCACTCTACAGGGACATAATCATGTACACTGGTCAACATTCAGCTATACACATAATAGAAGTACAATGCCTACAGGTACAGAAATTTAACATTGAATAATAACTCCTTTCTTCTTCATTCATACAAATGGATTAGGAAAGAGAGAGATATCGCTAAGACATGGCAAAGCAGATGGGACAGAAGGATGGAAAGAGGAAGGAACAGATGAGAGAGAGGAAGCATCCCTTGCATTCAGAATATTTTTCTTTTAATTAATCAGTAGTATTCTTCCATACATGCAATTCTGGCAAATACATGTACAAAATGTACATGTTGTTCTTAAATTCTACCTCTGTTCAATCATTCAATCAAAAGAAAGTTTGCTGTAACCAATATAACAAATCACTAATTAAAATTGATTTCATACTTACATAAAATGTGATATTACTGACCTGTGTGATAGTTCTGAGACATAGATGTCTGAACTTCCCTGCACTCCCCTCATCATGTGGTTGTATAATAAGGTACTTGGAGCCACCTTCAATAAACAGTGGCCAGGATGGACCAAACTGAAGAGAACCAAAATGTGCAATTGGTCAGATTACCACTACTGTCAACAAGACACACAACCAAGATATTGTTACTTGGAAACTTTTTTGTAGTCTTTTAAACTTTGTTAACCCTTGAGTTACCAACCAGATGAAATTGTACACAAGGCAGAGGAAAAACACATTGAAAATCAACAAAATGTCAGAAAACTTACTGTGCCAATCCATCCAGTTGTGCTTTCTTCATAGTCAATCTATGAGGCAAAAATATGATAAAACTTGGATGCATCTGCAATAATAACATCCCACAAGGCAAGACATCAAGGCAAGACATCAGCACTCCCCATGACAAATCTAACACAAAAGTTTAAGTTAAACATAATTATCTTTTCAGTATGTTTAGGATAAGACACCTCTATAGGTGATTCCTTAGTCTTACCATTCTGCATGAAACAGTAGCCTGTGTGACGTCACAGATGTCTACTATGGACGTGTTCTGTGGACGTGGTACCCAGCTGACATACAGCTGACTGTTACTGGCCCACGACACCACGTACAGGTACAGTTCACTGAAAAATAAATGCATGCTGCTGTGATCTAGGAAAAAATATTAGGTTAGAACTAGAAAATTGTAATACATGTACATGGTTTCATTAACACCCCTACACACTTACAGAATCAGAATGAAGAATTTCAAAGTCAAGCCACATTCAGGAAACCCAAGTTATATACCCTTCACACTAGATGTGGAGTGAGCCAGACTGCCGTCTGAATGAAAACTTCTTAAATGTATATAGTCTTGGCTATTCAAAGAGCACTCTTCAACATTTGAGGTATATTCCAAATATTTTGATTCTCCCTTGATCATGAATGCAATCAGGATGTTTTGAACATTCTTGGAATATTACTGTTCATATAGTTGTAACCAAATATTAATGCTAGTTAACAAACCACTGATCGTCAAAGAGAACTACCGGTAGGTGTTTTGACAGGTGCGTACCTCAATCCCGGAGGAGCTGGTACCTCCTGTATGGGGTAGGCAGGATCAGTCATGTCAACCACGTGAAGTGAAGCTGTCGGATTGGGTCTACCGGCCTGGAGTAAAAGAAATTTAACATGATTATGTCATTTGTACTTGTGTTCGGTTTTGATGACTATCCATTTCAAATGTTGGTCACTTTTATTGAATTAAAACAAAATGAGCACAGATGTAGATGCTATGTGTTTTAGCTACATGTAGTATAGTGCTTTACTTGTTACTTGTCACTAGATAATTAGCCCCATGTGGGCTATGGCTTCTGGATAGACAGAAACATTAAACATCAACCCAAATCAAGTCTTCATCATAGTGTAAAGGTGATCTGAAACCACACAACTACATGTATTGTACTGACATGTCCACTGTACCTTAGGATAGTGAATGTCCACAATCCCTGGGTACTGTGTCTCTCCGTAGTGAGAGAAGCTCATGACTGGGACCTGTGAGTCATTAAACTTGGCGAAGGCCAGACGGTTCCCGTCCTTCGACCACCAGATGGTGTTATCTACAGAGAACACCTCCTCTAGGGGCAAAAATGGACAATTGTAAAAAATTTAAACTTTGTTTGAAAACAACATCTTGACAACCCTACAGCAGCTTTCAACAAGTTTGAACTTGACTATGACTTTATACACACCTGACATTAACAATTTTTTTTAATTGGTCACTTACTTTATCAATTAAGTGTACATGAAATGAAATGTCCCCTTCACAGTATCATTCAATGAAAAAAATTATTTTCTAAAAACTACCATGCAATCTTTATATTGATTTTCCAAGAAAACCTTGCTAAAACGGTGACTTAAAAATGTCTACTCTGAGCTCAGACAAAAGCTGCAGTATAGTCAGCCTAAAGTTCAGTGAATATCCTAGTCCCATATACTTCATGTTGAACCTAAAGTTTAGTGTGTGAAATCTACCTTCATACACCCAGTCAGGAACACCATTCCAGATGAGTCCTTCCACCCCGTCTGTAGTGATGGGTTGTGAGTCGTTTCCAGAGAAATCAGCCTTAAGGTATATGTTGTTCTTGTACACAAACACCTAATGAAAAGAAGAAATATATTTTTAGACAAACATTAAAGCAATCCAAACTATGGACTATCGGCATTGTAGTTGGACTCCAGTTTTTGCACTTCGCACACTGTTGTCATTTGTGATGTACAGATTGTAGCCAATCACTTTGTTATTTTATTGCACCCCTGCCTACAATGTATATAGCTAGCAGAGGATTGGAGATATCTTTTTAAAGGGAACAATGCTGGTACTCACCAGTTTGTGTCCAACTGGCGCCCACCCAGCAAACTGCACGTCATCGTAAGGAATCCACGCAGTCACCACACTGACAAAGATTGCAGGTCACACTGTGTTAGTTTGATAGGCTAGACCCTCGCTTTTCATTTGCATAAGAACAGCTTATGTAAAACAATGCAAGAACCTTACAACTGGAAACTTGAAACACCTAACATTAAGGCCCCATTCCCACTAGGATAAAATTGTCCAGATCGAGCCGTGTTGATTCGCTTTGAGATGGCTTTGATCCAGATCGATCCAGATCAGAGCAGGATTGAGCCGGATCAATTGGGCTTGATCCAGGCAATTTTATCCTAGTGGGAATGGGGCCTAACAGTTTCCATATAGCTTTAACTGACCCTTACCTTCCCTGAACATCATAGATGACACAGTTGGCAGTGAAGGAATGTCGGAACACTTTCTTGTAGTTGTAGGACAGGAGAATGTACTGCAAGTCTGGGGACACTCTGTAGTCAAAGGCATCGTATTCTGTCTGTAGAGAGAAGAGGGTTCATCAGCTTGTTACTGGCTTGTACAAGTGTACATCTGACCAAAATTTACTTTTGAGAGGATCAAAAAATCTTAAAATTGACCTACATTTACCTGGAGGTTGGCATAAACCACCAAATGGATGCCTTTCCTCCAAATAATCCACATGTTTTGAAGGTGACCAGTATATTACAGTATAGAACGATTACTAGTATAGTAAACACAAGTGTAGGGATGGCTTACAAAAGTGCTGTTGTCCATTAGAATTGTTGTCGCATTTGTCCTAACGTTTTTGGTGAGCACAGCGCCATCTTCGTCACGATATATGTAGTCTTCACCTATTTCAAGACAAGCCAGCGTTAGGAAAACATAGTTTACATACACAGAATCAAAACGTAACTGCATAAATCTAAGAGAAGCATATATATGATTGTGGTAACTGAAACTTTGAATTTTCTGGTACGTAGTTTACAAAACACTTGAAAGAAAATGGCTGCATAATATTACTCGGAAAGAAAACTATACTTTTCTGTTTACTACGATTCACTCTGGTGTGTATATAACACACACACATAGACAGACAGACAGACACACACACACACATTGTCCTTACCACTGATCCACCTGGCTGAGAAGCCCTTGTAGCTGAATTTCTGGTTAAACATATCCTCAAAGGTGTAACCTGGTCTGTTGTCTGGTGTGCCTGTCAATAAAAGTCAAGTCCAGATGATTACACATATTCAAGTTTTCACTGCACCACAAAATAATTAAACCAAAATTGTGGATCCACACTTTTATTCATTAACTACAGTGCTTCAATTCTATTGGCCCAAAAGTGTGTGCCATACGCGATCATATACTGCCTGTTTCTAGGTATCTTTATTATATTTGCCAGTGACGCCAACAGTTTTTTTTCACGCTCAGAAAACCACTGATAACCTAAAATATAAAAACGGAATAAGCCCTACATTTCCAGGGAAAGGACCACCCAAGAAAAAAAGACTATTGCGTGCCCAGTACTACACAGGAGAGCTGCCTGCCACATCTGTCTTGTGACATAGACCACGGAACTACATCAACACGTACTATAGAAATAAACTCTTAAGCCACGTATTTGGGAAAGCAAAGCAGGGGGTTGCTGGAGAGCGTCTTGTAACTGATGTTATTGGCTGGTGAAACTTGAAAGTTTAAGGTCCGAATAATCCATCAAGGCCGATAATGTGTCATGGTTGGGATTTGGGAGGCGTCCAATGTCAGTTATGTAAACGTCAGCGTTAGGTGATAGTTTGGCGCAGCCATAACATTCAACACCGCCGGGTGTGGACGGCACAGAACAGTACAGTAGCCGGCACACTGTCATCGGCCTGGAGCCCAAACCGCCAGGGTATTTTCTGTCTGAAAATCTACTCTGTCAGTAAAATCTACTCTGTCAGTCATAGGATTGGCTCGGTGACCTACCAACATCGGCCGATTCCTAAAATCACACATTGGTCCAGAGGACATCGGACGTATTTATTTCTGCTGAATATGCTCTTTTTAGAGCGCGCATACTATAGGTAGTGAAGCTCGTCGGGCAAGCGTACTATTACTTCCTGTTTTAAGACGGCACCCTAAACACACGTGCACGCGTTTCTAAACCAACTCCTTAAGCTTGTTTTTGCAGGCTCCTTTACCAGTCGAAGGCCATCTGTCGACGGCATTTTAATGACGAAGGAAAAGAATGTGTATGAACACGCAGTATTGCGGAGAAAACGACATCCCTCGGTAAAATGGCAAAGCAAATATTTTCAAGCTGTTGTTAAATGTTTCTATGTCTTTAAACCCGTCATCAAAGACAAATTTGGCAGATTTTCATACTACATACCGAGGGTACACGTTGAAAAGCTTGTGCTTGGCTTTGGTCCAAGTATGTCAATGGGCTAAGAAAGCAAGCGACTATTCGACTGACTTTAACAATTGTACCAAAGGCCCGACTGGATGCTCGAAACCTGGGGACGCTTGGATACAAATTTTGAACTGAAGAACGTGTAGAATATGAATTGATGTACGAAAAAGCATGCACAGTATTTCCATACAGCAAACTTATAACTAAATTTGGAGACTGGGTACGTGTGCTTACCAATCGAAAAATCGTTAGGATTCAATTTTTTTTGGCTTTTTTTGAAATACGTAATATGACTGTAATATGACGAAAAATAAACGAAATTTATAACAGAATACCATAATCTTGTCCAACAGAATTTTTGAACGAAAAAAATACAAGCTACGAACTTAAGAACGCTCATATATCCCCAAAGTTGTACTTGCATGTCCTCAGCACTAAATTTGAAGACTCTAAATTTAAATTGTTCAAACTGTTAAATGGTTATGAGCCGTACGTTTTGCCCTGGTCTTAAATCAGCTTGATCGTGTTAGAAGCACCCACTTACACCCGTGTTTATATATCCGCCATACCAGTACTTACTATACATGCTTCTGTACTGTTGTCGTGAACCGTGCTCAATGCAAGCGATGTTATTGAGACGATAAATTATCAATTGTGTGGATGTCCTCTACTGTTGACAAAACCTGAGGCGTTAGTCCGTGTAGCTCGGTAGAATGTTGAGGTTCAGAGGGCCATGTGGATATTTACGCTTGTATATTGGTTCCCGAAGAGAGCTTGTGCAACTTGAGTTTAACGTGAACTTGTGAACTCACCTATATGTGATCTCGTATACAAAAATTTCTATCTTTAGCTGAAGAGTGTGACAGACATTTAGCAAAGAACGCGTTTTGTTTGAAACCGGACAACAACCTTAACTAAACATCCACTCCTGCAGGTACATGTAACGCAAATGTATATCGTTCCGTCCAATATGAATGACTGTGTACTTACGATTCCTTAAATATATCCAAATGTAAATTTTGAAACGTTCGCGGTGGTTTTACTTTTGCGTTTTTTTTATTAATTTTGCGGCAATCATGAATATACGTTTCTACTTCTGTACTAGACAAATGTTTCAACCGTGAACATAAAATTGAACACGGCGAAAACTCCCTCCCCCTCCTACCGTGAAATTAAATCTCCGCGAAGATGTATGTTCTTAATCTCCAAGCAGATTCGGTGGGGCAAGGGGACTTTGTTGGCCGCCTGTATCCAACGTTCGCTCCACGATGGATACAAGCGGCAAATGGATACAGGCAGCCAACATAAAGTCCCCTTGCCCCACCGAATCTGCTTGGAGATTAGTATGTTCTTACTTCCATAGAGCAGTAGTAGTGGTACAGGGATGGGGCTTACAATGATAAAACTCACCTCCATAGAGCAGTAGTAGTAGAGGTACAGTAATAAAACTTACCTCCATAGAGCAGTAGTAGGGGTACAGTAGTAGTACAGTAATGAAACTCACCTCCATAGAGCAGTAGTAGTGGTACAGTAATGAAACTCACCTCCATAGAGCAGTAGTAGTGGTACAGTAATGAAACTCACCTCCATAGAGCAGTAGTAGTGGTACAGTAATAAAACTTACCTCCATAGAGCAGTAGTAGTGGTACAGTAATGAAACTCACCTCCATAGAGCAGTAGTAGTAGAGGTACAGTAATAAAACTTACCTCCATAGAGCAGTAGTAGTGGTACAGTAGTAGTAGTACAGTAATAAAACTCACCTCCATAGAGCAGTAGTAGTGGTACAGTAATGAAACTCACCTCCATACAGCAGTAGTAGGGGTACAGTAATGGCAGCAGTGATAGCAGCGATCAACACAATCACACCCAACGTGACAAGGAGGGCCTTCCTCGTGGCAAGTTTCGCCTGGAAGAAAATTAGGAACAAAGCTGCTTATGATTCATTTAATTTTGCTCGCGTTGTCATGCTGTGCTGTGCTGTTAAAAGCGTACATCTTAAACCCACAACTATAAGGTTCACCCTTCCATCTCGACGAAAGATGATGGTAGCACAAGTCCACAAGTCTGGTGTTGTGGCCGTGCGCAGCTAATCAGCTTTATCTTCGCACGGCAGTCCCAGCCACAGTTGGGACACAGGGAAGTTGAAATATGTTGTGTATTTCATACAACTATAAAATATACATCTTAAGTCACACATTCTGGGCCTTTCCACTACTTTGTTCCCGACCACTCCCCAACCCAATGGCAAGGTCGGTGCTGGGTTTGGACAAGCGCCTGTAATTCATCCTCGGCTGCTGCAGACGACTATCTAAAGACTAAGAAGGCGACTAACTGCCAACCGTGGTCTAGAGAGAAAAGGTCAGGAGATACTTCGCAAAGATTCATTCCTCACAGTTGTTTGTAACTTCTGTTGAAGGTCGCTGAAATTAAGGAAAAGGACTAATAAATCTTTGGTCTTGACAAGACCTTAGTCTCACAAATGCCGTGTAAGCTCCTTATACTGGAGACACTGACGGATGACTACAAGCTTATACCATAACTCTCGGCATTATTCCAAACCATTAAATCCTTTCCGTTGTGCCGGCGGGCATGTTACTGTGAGGTATGGAGAAGTCTTTATACCTCCCGTGTCGTCTCCGTGTTGTCAAAATAAAACATCGCAACACCTCCAGCAAAAATAACCACGCTTTGTTTGCATGTACGCGTTGGGTCAGTAGTGTGCACCACAGGATTCGCGGGATTCCATTTCCAAACTCACACGAACGTTGCCCTTTGCCTTAGATTCTCGAGCTCAGATTTACGTTCATTTCAATGAAACTGTTGATACTGTCCATCTAGGAGATCTACTACATCCGATTCACAGATAATGGAGATATCGTTAGATAACCCCGGATGTAAGGTGTTTCGTGTGCCACACTGACAGATCGCTAATCTCCAAGCAGATTTTGGGGTTAAAGATCGCAACGCTTTCTGACTACAAGTATATGACACATATACAAGGTATATGAAAGTTGGGTGGCTTATGCTGTTAATTCTGTAACAACTGACGCTACTGCAAAAGCGATGCGCTTTTGCCTACTGCCGTCTTCTGCAAAAAGATATAAACACACCAGCGTTTAAATAAACGTACGGCACCTTCGCATGCACGACGCACCTACATAAGGATAAATGCTGAAACGAAAATCACGTACTACAAACAGCTTGAATAAAAGCTACTGCAAAAGTGAAGCGCTTTTCACGATTTCTGCCGTCGTCTGCAAAAAGATCGAAACACATCAGCGTCTTAACAAACATACGGCGCATTTCCAATGCACACCTGCACTAAGGATAAATGCTGAAACGAAAATCACGTACTACAAACAGTTTGATTAAAGTCTAGGGGAGAACCCGCTTGCTCCTAACCTTGTCGTCGCGGAATATGTGTGTCCGGGCGATCATGAGATCTCCGTCCGCCGCCCTGCCTACCACAGCGGCCATGCCGAGCTGGGCCATGGGAGCCAGGCTTGCCTGTCAGCTCTAGTACCACATTGAAGATCTCAGCCCGGTGCTGAGTACCAGAGTACCAGGGCCCGATGTTTCCCCATCAACTACTGCTGACGTACAGGCGGGACCACTCGGAAGTGGCGCGGGGAGGTTTGGACGAGAAAACTACGTATTCCCTGACATTTTCGTTTCACATGGTAGGTATATCTTTATTGGCGAACATTGCAACGTTCAATTGTATGCTGATATTTGTATAACACTAGGTCTAACGCAACATCTATTTAATGTCCCTTCCCTTTGACAATTTAATGGTAGCCCCGACAAAGTCAGGGCGTCCAATAGTTTGTCACGGTAAAGAACCAATGACTTTACAATCCTCTTTAAATCACGTAAAATTACTTTTAAAGTACTAGTATGATTTCCTCCAATCTTTCAAGACTGATCAAGTACAGAAATCTTTGCAGGCGAAAATTTACATGTTGAACATTGGTCAAAGCAAGGAGGTTAAAAAATCAACCTCCTTAGTCAAAGCATGAAAAGATGCTAAGCACGAGATCCACATGTCCAGTCAATGTGAGGACCATGAGAGGGTCTCTCTGTGTTGGGGAAAATAAGAGCGCCATTGTCACTTTGCCTTGTATCTACAAACCTGGACAGGTGTTCTCCTACCCTCCACACACACCGACTGTTTGCCCACCCTTGACTATTGATGTTATTCGGACAGGAACCAAAACACCACTCTTCTACTGGACAGGTGGGCCGTGCAGCTTCCCGCATTTTTCCCGGGCCACAAACAACTCCAAACAAACAACCTGTGCAATGCCAAGTGGATAGAGCCTTGCATTCGGTAGGTAGTGAGTTCGATCTCCGGCCAAGTTATACCAAAGACTTTAAAAATGGCACATACTTCTTTCTCTGCTTAGCACTCAGCATTTGGGAAAGAGTATCCAGTGGACTAGCCCCGTGCTGTAGTGACTGTTGTGTGGCCCAGGGCTATTAAAAACGTTGATGGGCGCCGCCCTATGCGTCACTAGACGCGGGAAGGCCCTTAACAACCTTTAACAAACAACGGCGGGATGTTGTCAGGAGTGATGAGTGGTCGACATGTTGAGAACCAACTACTCAAAAAGGGAACAAATGCAAAATACCAGAACAGGACGGCTTCGTTCAGAAGCAAGGTGAGACTCGTACGTGTACATTCACTATAGCTAGACACACCAAAGCGTGTCAAAAAGGCCTTTCTTTCCAACTGGGCTTTCTGATATAACTGACGCCCAGAGGGCAAAACCGACCCTTAAAAACCGGCGTGCGCTTTTGAGCCTAAGCGGGCGGGCAGGCAACAATTCCAACACGGTATAGATACCGGAGAGTCTACGATATACTCGGTACAAGGCTACGGGACGGAGGGGACACAGTGTTTTTGAATTGAGAGATAGAAGGATGTTCTCTTTTCTGTTTGCTTTTTTTTTCGCAGCTATATATGGCATGTACATTGTAGAAATGCATGCAAGCGCACGTATTGTCACTGGCGATAACGCACGACCTCTCCATCTTTTTAGCTTGAGCTGCTAACAGATAAATGACAAGATTAATGTTTCAAATGTCCGGCAAATAAACATAACCTATCCGTATTAAAACCACCCTCTACACTAGACGGCTTAGAAAACAGAATTGGAGTGTACGCGCCTTGGTTTTATAATTAGAATACGATGCACGATGCAAAAGTGTGAAATACAAAGACAACAACATACACATGAAGGAAAAACGTATTCTTTGTCAATGAAATATAACACCCACTACACACACACACACACACACACACACACACACACATACAGACAGACACACACACACACACACACACACACACACACACACATACAGACAGACACACACACTACTTCAGCCAACCCACCGGAATGCAAAAGAAAAAAGAAAAAAACATTCATCACGGAATTTGGCAGCACTGCGGAACTTGATTAGGCTACCCATATGGAACCGGCAGTGCTCTGATTATATCGTTAACATCAATCCCTTTACCTTTTTCACATAACCAAGGACGTGCTAGTACGTCCATGATGTGCTTATCAAAACGTCTGCTTCAAACATAATGCATGAATAAAAGTACGTCTGAGCTATACGGTATACCAGCGGCTCCGTTTTCTCAGCACACGCGCCACGTCGCACGTGCTTAACGTTTATATTGGAGATCATTGGATAATTTGGTAATCACTATTGAGTCAAGGGATTACGCTAAAACTAGTTAGCGCCCCTAGCGTTCAATCCCGAACTGCAGGAAGGGGTCCCAAAGTGTCCCAGACAGCTCGACTTACAGCAATACACACACCAACAGATTTAAACATATAATGTAACCCTTTACGTTACCCTGCCAAATGGTCAGGAAAGGCTTGATGTGACATGGTGTTTGTAGGTAAAGCACCAAACAGGATGCAAGTGTGCTACGTATATAAAACTGACCACCACACACGCCCCCCTCCCCCAAATCAGTAGTAGGATAGGTCCCTACCGGAGTGGTGGAGGGTGGGCCAAGAAAACTTTCCTGCTCCTCTGGGTACACAGTCGTTTCGTGGGTCATCCTGGAGAACAACATGGACCCCAACACCCGCCTCACATCTGTGGGAAACTTCGGGACGGCACCGCACCAAGGCTCGGGGCTAACCCGGAAGTTCTCCCTGCACAGTCCCTACCCCTGGTACGTAGGGAAGTCTGTGACCCCTGCACGAGGTCGGAGTATCAAATTTCACGGCTCAAAAAGTAACACTAGTACTCCCGGGCAGGGGAGCTTTCAGCGGCGTTTTACATAACCCAAGGATCAGGGCTATACCAATACGTGGCTTGGGAAATCATACCAAACTTGAAAGTCTCGCAACGTGGATTGTAAATTATTATCCACCTGTGTGGGCGAGAGACGTTTTGATAAAATGACACATCTAGAACGCTATTGAAAACGTCCTTCATAGCAAAGCCAAATTATGAGAAACCGAGATAAATAATGAAAACAGAGAGTTTTGTAAACATTCTATACTTCACATTACCAGTTGATTTAGTGACAGTTTATTACAGTCATATGTAGTCAAGGAAAATGATGTTGAGCCATCATGTTTTGGACATATTAAATTTTACGTAGTCTCAATTTTGATCACGCCGAAGTACATTTTGTATATTTGTTATTGAGTTTCGTTGTTGAGTGCAAAAGTGACTAAGTAATGCAAATTTGCTTGGATCGAACTTTTAGAATACACTGCACAGGCTCGGTTCTTTTATGACTTTAACTCCCTTTGTTGTTGGCGTACCTGTGTAATACTAGTTCAAAGCCTGATAGAGCTCTCCACACGAAAGACGAACGTGGACCACTAGAAAAGTCTGCACAGGCTAGCTCATACTGAACTGATTGGCATCCAAGGCTGAGGATCAGTGAACTCAGTTTGCTTCCGGAGCTCCAACGTTAGAAAGAGTGGACGTACATTTCGAGCACACTTACGCCTTGTTCTTTAGTGTGAACCTAATTGATTTTTATCACACTTGTTGTACGCGTTTCTTGCTCTTCATCCGTGCTTGAGTTGAATATGTACCGTGTGTTGCGTCAACAGAAGTGTTATCTTCGTAAGATGGTATTTTCCAGTTCTGCTTGCCCCCTGTCTGAGGGTCTGTACATGGACGCAAAAGTATAACTCAAGGGGCTATGAGTGGATTGTTTTTATTCTTTGGAGTGAGCGAGAAAGGAGGGAGGAGTGATACCACGGACGCTGGTAATTGGGTACTTCATGCAAGCCAAGGTCGACTTGATAGTTGGAATCTGAGCAAAACAACGGGGTAGGTTGAAAAACTTTTCCGATCTCCCTTCCCAACATCTGCTTTGAGACTGATACAATCAGTCGTAGCCGCTAGGTGGCGACCTTGGTCTGAAAGTGTTCCCTGCACACGCAGACATTTGTTACCTTCGGGTACCGGGGTATTGTTTAGCTCTCAGTCTGCAAGGTTTCTGTCCAAGGTCAGTTGAAAATATATTAGGCTACGCAAACTCTTCTAGGAGGTTTGAAATCCCCGATTTCTTGTTCGATTGACGAGCTTGCTACCAAGAGAAATATAGTGTATTCATGCAAACTCTTCCAGGGGGTATAAAATTTCTGATTTCTTGTTCGATTGACGGGCTTGCTACCAAGAGAAATATAGTGTATTCATGAAACTCTTCCAGGGGGTATAAAATCTCTGATTTCTTGTTCGATTGAATGTTTGCTACAAAGAGAAATATATAGTCCCTCTAAATAAGTATCAGAATGCAGATCGACTGGGTTGGTTCTTATAACATAAGTCTCTAACTTTGATCTTGCAAAGGATATACAGTACATACCTAGCCTTCAATCCTTGCTTCTATGTACTCTTATCCCCTTCACCCTTACAACACACGTACATGTATCTTATCTAAGTCCATATCGCAATATAATAAGAAACGCCCACTCGATCTCCATGTACGGATACACCATATCTGTGTACTCTGCTAACAATGTAGACGTAATATCAACAGACCTCATGGCGACTGCACTGTTGAAGTGTTGTGTGGTGTGGACACACTGATGTTTGTCAGCACAGTGATGTATGTACATAAGGCCGCGCAAAGTTGCCTTAAGTTTATACATCCTAACATTTACTATATAGCTAACCAGCTTTTCTGGCAGTGAACCGAGGTGTGACGTTCGGGTAAGAGTGTTATAACAGTGGTGACCTTGACACGTGAAGAGGTCTTTTCATGTGCAGTAAATCAAAGGCTGAAAGAGACCACATGTACAATCAATCTAGTTAAACTACTGCAAGTTGGAGGAAGTTGACTGACTGAGGGACAGAGAAATGATGATCAAAAAGCCATCAGGACAGATAAAAAACATTAACAGCAAGGGTCCGGTAACATAAGGTCGCGAAGGACTGTCGTACAAACTGAGCGCATTGTTGGGATATTGTTGTGCATGTGTCCAACAAAATTCGACTGACTCACTGAAAATTCTGCCTCATATCCTTGCCTTGGATTCTGTCTTAGATCTGCTTTAGATCATCTGTCGTTGTTCCCGGTGACGAGAACGGTCGGTGTAATATGTGACCGTCTGTTTGAACATTGTACACCAAGTAAAACGAACTTGACCGCGATATACAGGGACAAAGATGGTAACCAACTTACAGCAAGGGAACATCATGGTAAGTATGATGGGGAAGGCATTTCATGCGAACTAAAGAACAGACCAGCACCCGAAACACATGCACTGGACATTCCGCGAGCAGACCCAGGCGGGCCCGCGGACCTGGTAAATCAACTTTGGGGAACCATCAAAGGCAGAGGTCAGGAGAGTCATCATGTCCCTACAGACAGCACGGCATACTCTGCAGCTGTAGCAGGAGCTGTCAAAACTGACACAAGAACGGCTGTACATTCAGTCAGCACTGTGTGGTACATTACATGTATATAGGGCAGACGGGGCTGAATAGTAGACGCTTGAAAGATGGTGAGATATGGGAATGGACCACGAGTCGACAGCAAGCTAACAGGCTTTGGGAAGCGGCTGGAAAGCCAAATAGACAGATAACATGTCAGGGGAGTTGATCCGCTAATGAAAAGAGTACAGTTTGTCAGTCGCACTTTAGCGGGCCACTCCCATGGCATTTTATCTGTCTATTTGGCCAATTTCTACTAATTTTTCCAGCCGCTTCCCGAAGCCTGGTAGAGGCTAAGATGCAGGCACAGACAGGAGTTGCGTTGGGGGCAAATATGGTCAAGTATCAAGATGATACATGTTTGACGTCATCGATGGCTCTGAATGATCTTTTTTTGCATGAACTACGTATACCGCTGTTGTACGTTTGCTATCTCTAGATGCTTTTTGTTCATTCCGGGCTTTTCATGGAAGAAACATCTCTTCTACGAAAGATCTTTATATTAATAGGCCATTTAGTTGGGGGAGAATGTACATGTTGTAAGCCGTATCGCAGCAGCATGCACCAGCACACGCGTCCGCCTCTGAGTTATCAGGAGTCTGGGAGGGAAATCGGACTGATAACCAGCTACACATGTGCGGGCACGGCAGCCCGATAACGCACATGTCAGCCGGGAATTATAGCTACCGGGTTACGTAAAGGGACCGGCAAGTAACGATGCTGGTGGGGGGCAGGAACAGGGGAAAACCGCTAACTAGACGTGTTTTATCTTAAACGGTGTTTCAGTAAAATAACAAGTAAAGATACAGTGATTCTCTTCATTCAGTTCTAGATGATCTTTCGCAAATCAATAAACCAGAGCAAGGCAAAGCAGCAGCAAAGAATGTATTGATGTTACGACACAATGTTTAAATCCTTCACAATATAATATGATGCTGATTTATTACCTACGGTATTGTACCACAAGCTAGTGACATGTAATGCTGACAGTAGAGGTGGTAGAACTGGCATCACTGTTAAGGTTGGAAAGACTGGAAACTACTAGAAGTGGTCACCACCTGTTTTTCATTCCGTACATTGTACTAATGGTAACTTGTAACAAAGAAATAAACAACAGTTTTGGAGTAGACAGCTTCAGGCAAGCAAGAAGTACTATGAAATATGGCCATCAGGTCAACACGGTTCTTATGGGCGTCTTATCTAGTGCCGCTCACTCAGTGTCCAAGATAAGGTTATCAGATACGGTAAGGTGGCGGTACTAACTAGGTACAAACTATGCTCAGGCCCAGTTCTGGACCCGACCAAACATTCTTCACCCAACAAGGCATAACTGCAGTGTGAACCGGGTACCCGGATGTAAGGGTTTTCTTGAAAACATCACACAACAGCCAATCCGGGACGACTTTACACACATGCACGAATGGTGTGACGTCAAACCAACGTCTCCGTGAAGTTATGAAGGCCAAACTCTCTAAGCACCGCTGACAACTGTCAATATTGTGTTGCCACATTGTGCAAGCCTTGCAGATTTGCTTTCATCAATGCCAAAGGCACCTCAAGTGATTTCGATACAGTAATACTAGATTTTCAATGTAGTAAGCTGAATCCACTCTATTCCATGGCATACTGTTATCTGTGAGGATTGATAAGTCTCTGACGGAACACAGTTGCTTGTTTCGTATCGTGGCTGGTTCTGGATATTTATTGGTGGTACCAAAAATAAAGGGACTCCACATGTAGCTTGTTTTGGGGCTATTCCAAATGCTATGAAATGATGACGAAAATATGCTAAGAAATGGTAATAAATGTCAATACTGCAATAACAGACAGATTTCCTCTTCCAAATATAATATAATATAAATGTATTGCCTCCCTAACATTACCTGGATGCCTTACATTCGAAAAGGGGAGAATCTTACAGTATCTCTCAGTAAAAAGTCTTCAACAAACGAATATTTATCTCCTGATAACACCCAGCAATTCGGTACTTTCTAAATCCTTTCTCTTTGAGTGTGAGAGTGAATCTAACCAACATATTCAGACAGCACTACTACATAAGTAGCCCCGTGCTGTCGGGATAAATTAGGAGTCCCTGCGGCGAGACAAGGCAGACCCTTCTTACGTTATCAGAACATTTTTATTTGAGCGTTTACAGGCAGAAACGAGACAGCTCTGGGCGCTCTGAAACCTTTCAACACGTTATACTGCCACTTCTGTTCACATTTCAAATGTCGATTAGCGTCACGTACAGCGTCAACGTCAGAAACAGCTGTACACCAGACTTGTTGAGCCGCCAGTTCCTACGACATACTTAAACGCCAAACGTCTCCTATTAGAGACCCGCTTCTGTGATGAATGAAGGCAGGTGTACGTTAAGTCAAGGAAACACAAGGAAATATTAAAACACTTTATCACAGGGTGACGTTTTGTTGCGCTCTCCCCCAGTTTAAACATTAACGGTCGGACCCTTTCGGCCGGAGCTAATCTCAGAGGGCGGTAGAGTTCCACAGAAACGCGGGAAAAGGCAGGGATCAAGTTATCTGGGATCTATTCGTGAAGCGGGGTTAATATGTATCTGTAGATCGCTTCCCTCACAGGCACGAATTCAATTTTATAACGTGACCCTTGTACACTAGTGATTTATCGCATGTAATTTAGTGGGAGACGGACGGAGGGCGACTACAGTGCCTTACTTCGTGGTTCGCTACGGCCTAGAATCAAGAAGTCCTTTTCAAGCAGCCAGTTAAGAACGATTTTATCACTTGTGAATGTGTTCCCCACATGTAAAAACTGGCACTTGGCTCGTAGTACATTGTACAGATACGGAACGAGTTGCCAACATGTTTAGGTCGTATGTTACACGCACTGCCATCGTAAATCAGACTTACCATGTCTCACAACCTTGTCGCCAGAGATCGTCTCCTGTAGACTCCCCGGCAGAGAATGCTGCCAGTCGGCTGGAGGCCGCTATTGATGTACAAACCAAGCGGTTTGCCGTGCTGGCCCGCCTCTCGTACGAGTCAATACACTTCGCTACTACAGCCCTTCGGTACAACCAGGGGGCGTAGCTCTAATGGGAAAGGGTGTGCATGAGGTTTCTAGGAACACCATGTCGGAAAAAAGAATCTTAACGTATCGTATATATCATCTTAACTAAAACTCCTTGATATCAATTATTGTATTACGCGTTGAGGAATATGATAACATGATCTGACACAGAAATTCGCCATGACAAAATCTAAAACGTCTTTTAACACTAAAAAGATTAAACCACAGACAAATTCATTTTTCCTGCATTGAAAAATGAAGACCATAGAGTCAAACCAACGCGTGGCATACTGATCAGTAGATGTCCTGGACATGCCTATTCCTAAAATCACTGGCTGGAATGAGGTTTCTATAGAAATACAATGCAAAAGACTTATCATCATATGTACTACTTATCATTAGGGTCTGACAGGTTGATGAATACGCACATGGTCAATTCATTACGTGACACAGATATTCTACATGACATATTCAAAAGCATCTTTTTTTAAACTAGAAAAAATAACAAACACGAATCGATGAAAGGACATACCTTTCAGCATTGAATGGTGTCATTTTTGACAGAAAAAATGAAGACCACACAGTCCAACCAACTGCACATGTGGCGCCTGAATATTCCTACAAGCACTGTTCTATATACCAAGTGTGTGCTGACTGCATACAAGCCAATATCACTATCGCAGCAGCATACCAACAACGTAATATCACAGTTTAGATTCATTCTTTGTACCATTTTAGCCACCAAGCTCTCATATGTCTTGTAGCCAAAGCAAACCATTTCATGCGTTTCGCTTACCACGAATGATTTTTTCATGAGAATAGTTACCATGCATACATAGATATCGCATGCTGTATTTTATGCATGTATATCTCATGCGTTTCCTCGCTTCAAATGTTGGACGTCGAATGTTGAGCTTGATACCCTCTGACAGGTGTTTCTCAATATATTCTGTGTTATTAGGTCTACTTACAACTCCATGAAATAGAACTCAATTTCACTGAACAAGCCATTCTAACTAAAGCAGAAAGAAACCTTGGGTAAATAAATTGAATACAGAATCGTTTTAGCTGATACACGAGTCATCGTTGGACGATGTACAACAAGCAACAAGCATGACTTTGTCAACCCCTTTTACACCCCAACACAAACAGCACAGCTGTCAAAACCGTACAAACTTTGCCGCAGTTGTTTGAAAGGGTCCGAGGGTCACATAGCAGGCAGCGGAGGCCGTACTCTACCCGGTCCCCCATTGCGAACGTCAGTCTTTCTACTGAGTGACAAGTCAGGGATCACGTGGTGTTGTGACATGTGATCGTGCCGCGTGGCTTCATGCAATACATCTCAGATGTTGGACACGAATTAAGAGGTTCCATGTGTATTTATTTACCGTAACGCCTTACCCCGTGCCGTGTGTGCACTAACACCAGGTGGATGTGAGTTCGGTATAATCATTAACAAACCTGTGCTGTTTTTTTGGGTTCAGGGACCATTCAGGTTTGTATGCATGTCTTGAAGCCGGGAAGAGGGCCAGACAGTGTGCACACATACGTATATATAATTATGCAAATATATGAATATGTAAGTGATTGTCACTATGAAACATAGAAAAATGAAACGGTAAAAAAACCATATGGACAAAGATCTTTCCGCGGTGTTAGGGAGCAGCTTGATGAAATGTGAGTTGAGTCAGATCAAACAGAGGCGTCTGCGTGCTGCAATTCGCTTTAGCCTACTTTTGACTCTCGGTTCTGTTATATCAAGGAGGTTATAGGGGAAATATACATCTCTGGCGACTCTTTCTAGAACAGCAAGTCACCACGTATGTGAACATGCACAAGCGAGAAGACCACGCTGCTTCACAGGAAAATAACAATGTCAAACCCATAACGTGCCAAACTTAAATCTACCCTGCATTATCAGAAACCCAAACATTTTGTCTGCTAGGACTATTGTGGCGCCTGGTCTTATGGGAAACCATCTTTGCTTTATTTGAAACATAACAAAAGGACAATGTGTGGTATTGTCCCCATACTTAAAATCTCCTTATCGATGTGATTCTTCATAAATGATTTAGTACCAGATTTCAGGCTTTACTGTGCAGCTTCTACGTTCTTTTCAAGAACACGGAAACATTATACACATGATAAAAACCTACACACAATGAGCGCATGGTAACAGAAGAGAGGAAGTGTCCAAAGTACTACTATGACAAAATGAACGCTGCACAAAGAATGCGACAAATAAAAGAATCAGTGATATCATCAAAAGTCGCAGTTGAAAGGATATGGTATCATGTGTTGTTAGTGACGTGACGACGTGTAACACTGGTCAGACGCATTTTTGGCAGAAAATGCATGCTGCTGTTTCTTCTCGTACTACTCTCGAAAAACTTGCAGTCTATAGCAAAACCGTTATCTAAGACCTGATGATTTACAGTGTCTGTAAAAATACAACAACGCTGCTCAAACCACGGAAAATGGCGAATCAGGCAGGGGTTAAGAAAACCCAGGACAACACTGCTGATCTTGGAGGAGACTTCCAGACGGTTCTGAGGAGAATCTGTAACCATCTGACTTCTCAAGACGCGCGGCAGCTGAAGATTCTTCTCAAGGAAGGTCGGTACTATTGATATTTCTAAATAACAGTTTGCATGACAAAAAAGAAAACTGTTAAGTATACGTAGCTATGAAGGAAGTCTAAATTTTCTGTGTTGTAGCAGGGGTTTGACTAATCCTGACTGTCCATCACAATTAGCAGTTCAACCAATGATGGCGTGGTAAATATCGTTTTGCCCAATGAGAGATTAGCTACATGCCCGTCAAATAAATTTTTATTTTCATATCTACGTTTTTGTTTTGCGTCTCCACCTTTTGACAGAGGTGGGTGGGGCTATAAGATCGGACGATTGTTTCGAAGAGTTTTTTTTCCATTATTCTAAATGTTTGCCGTTAATCATTTCACTGCAGATCCCATCATTACAAGATGGTTCCCCGGTGACCTCAGTCTTGAGTCGCCCTCAGAGCTCATCCTCAAACTCCAGATGAACAGGATCGTCACTGAGGATAATCCTCTGTTCCTGACGTCACTGCTGTGGCGTCTGCGCAGAGACGACCTTATCACACTGCTATTGCAACACTCGGAGAAGATCTCAGATCAGATCCACTGCGCACTTCCGTCTGAAAAACCAGCTAAAGGGTTCCATCAGCTGGATCTGATTCTACGAGCAAGCTTGAAGGATATCAGTAGAACAACGATGGAAGTGTTCCGTAGCCACCTAGCGAGAGCTGTTGGAATTCCACCTGAATACGCATTTCTGGACGGCATACGTCCTGACTTTGAAAACAGAACTATCATGACGATTCAGATCCCGGCTTCTTGTACAGAGCGCGCTGCTTCCGTACTTAGAAACGACGCGGTTCGCCGAGAGTTGATGACCAATGGCGTTGAGGCCATCAGGCTTTCAAGAGAAAATGAGATTCGACTCACAGTTGAAGGCAAAGAGGAGCAGCCGTCAACTGCTGGAAACCCTTCAGCGCTGGGTAGCAATAAATGCTGCGCAGATGTGAAGAAAGAGCTGATCTCACAGCTCGAGGCAACTGCTGTGATACGCCAGGAGGTTGAAAAGCTTCGCCTGGAAAATTCTAAGTTGCAAAACTATCACGACGCGAGTCTTGCGCGGGAATCGAACCTGAGAAAAATGCTCCAAGACAGACTGGCGAAATCTGAGGAGGATGCAGAAGCAATGAAAATGCTGACCAAAAAGATGGAGGACACTCTGGCGAAGAAAGAGCGCTTGGAATCAGAAATTGCTGAATTAAGGAAATGACAGCACTTTTGACAACACAAAACAAAATACCTTAACCAGGTTGCTTTGTATTTTATGATAGTTTGTACATAGTCATAGAATAGTCAAAGATTTGCCACATTGTCTTAGTCATTGCAAACATTTTACGACAGACACATTGATAGAAAAGTACTGTACAAAAGATCCCAAAGGTTGAAGTATAGCACATGCGCATATCAAATAATATAGAATATATGCATCCATTTGTATATGCATCCTGACATTGTCCAATATACATATCCTCATCTAACTCTATATTAAAGCACAGACACAGACGTTCACAGCGCACAAATGAATGAGATAAGTAACCGTGCCTTTTATATAATAACTATTCGTTCTACGCAGTACTGCCTGATAGCATTTTTAAAGACATACATGATCTCGCACAGGTTTGATTTTAGAGGAGTGTAGATCTTTTTAATGGCAGGGAATATCAGGTTGTTTTTGCACACAGACAGACCCGCCGAACTTCTTTCAGGATTTTCCTATTGTTGAGTGCGTAGACCACGGGACAGACGACAGTGCTGGAGTAGGCGAGCCACATGACCAGAGTCTGTACCCACAGCGGCAGGCCGTACCCACCGCCGCCCACTATGACGGTGTACGGACCCCAGCAGGCGAAGTGACTCCCGATGTAGATCACGGCTGGGGAATGGAAGAAGACAGAAAGAAAACTATTTGTGAAGACTTGCCGTCTTCCTTGTTTTAGTCGTCTAACACTGCGAAGATTGGTTCAAGACTCTGAACAATCACTGCACTGGACCTTGCGTAAAGGTTCCTTGCTTCACGGGCATATACATGTACGCATGCTTTAAAGCGTGCTTAAAGTTATGATTTCGTACAGTGAGTAACAGTTACATCAAACCAATGCTGTCCTTGGTGCTGAATGTTGTTAAAAGACACCATCCATAGACATATTGAATCAATTTAGTGGTTTATCACTGTCGTTACTTAATGTATGAGAAGGGATATAACTTTAAGTCTTAACTTACCCGATAGAGCTATCTTCCTTTGTATCTTGTGGTTTTCTCTGTCTTTCCGGTCTTTCTTACGCGACGTTTCCAGGTTACCGCTCCGATGCCCGCCAGGGACGAGAAGAGTGTCCCGGGAAGTTTGAGTGGTGTACACGGTACGGCTTGGGAATCCCTCCGTCAGGAATTCGGACTGCTCCACTCTCAGCAGCGACGGCGCCTCCCCGCGGATCTGGTCAAAACTGCCTTGTCTGGTGCTCTTGACAATTCTGAGGAACGCCGGGGTCTCTCTGAGTTTCTTTTGTTGTGTCAAGATCGGTGGACTCTTGATATTTCCACTTTTCTGCGAAGACATTTCTTCCTTGAATGTGTTCAGATTTGCAGGACGACGACTGTCATATTGCTCAACCGATGTGGTAGCCTTCTGTTCTTTGGCGTTATCTCTTACATTGCCCCCTTGCGGTGCATCTTTGGAATGGCACGAGCTAAGTTGAGGTTCGATATCGTGATCCTTAGGTAACCCAACAGTTGTTTTCCCTGTGCCAGCCGCCGTCTCATCTAGCGGCGCCGTGGAATTACCTTTCAAAAATCTTCTTGGAATAGAGAGTCTCTTAGAAGCCTCGAGAGTGGTCTGTCCTGTAGCCGAACCCCGTCCTTCCGTACCTCTCTCCCTCCATACGTTCAGCTTTCTATGATTCTGTCTCACGAACCTGAAGATCGATGTATAACAGTAGAGGATGGCTGCAGACGGCACCACAAGTCCGAGGAAGATGCAAGTCAGGCGGTAGCTGAGGACGGCCCAGTCCGGGGAACAGTGGAATGTCCCTCGGTGATATTCGTACTTGGACCAGCCGACCAATGGAGGTAGACCAATCATGGCGCTGAACAGCCAGAGCACGGCCAGGGTGATTTTCAGACGCAAGCGGGAGAGGACGTCTTTCTGGGGTCTGCAGATGACAAGATAGCGATCCACGGACAGGAGAGACAGGAGAAGGGTTGTCAAGAGCGGGAAGAAAGCTGATGTGAAGCCGTTTATCTGGAAAATAAGAAATCTTCGAATAAATCACATTGTCAAGTAAATGGAGGTATTATACAAGTACTCAAATGTACATTTACATATTGTGTGGCCAGTGGCTTAATTCACATAAGTTCATATAAGATATTTATTGAAGAGTATAAAATCAACCAGGCAGATACTGTATGATAATCGGACCTATGAAATGATAGGGCAATGGCTCACGTTTCATAATATCTTGTTTGACAATATCATTGTGTGAAATGATTAGACGTTAACTGCCTAGGCCATTTGCTTCTCACTGGATTTTGTTACGCGGTAAAGTTAGACGTTATTTGTCAGAGGCTATGTATAGTCGGTCATCAATATTTTAGTCAATACTCCTTTGAAATAAAGATCATCATAAAGTGAGTGTAATACCTTCCGGAGTATCGTTTGCAATTATAGTGTGAACATTACTAAGAAGAAATCGTAGATTTTAGAATTCTGGGAAGTATGCTGGGTTATCGTGACCTTCGTGACAGCGCATGTGTTGGGGAGCAGATTGACACTACAGACAGAAGGACAGGTCAAAAGGCTAGACATAGGAAATGGGGGGTCAATCTACCCTGTCCAAACGGACACAACAGCTCAGCCACCCAAAACAATACTTCCAGTTTAAATGCAATAGTAAGCCAAGGAACAGGGACAACAACTTTAAAAAATGGTTGGGGTCTTCCTGGCTGAAATTGTTTTCACCTAAACAGGTCACTCTCTCCAAGAGAATTGCATAGTGCACGTGGTTTATCAGAAAAGCAGGAGAGAATTTATAACTCCTAGGAGAAAAAAGCGCTTTACTCAGTAAAGAGACAAAAGAAGATAATGATGACTGTCATGCCAAAATGGTGACAGTGTAATTTCATGAGAGAAGAAATATTTTCTACATCTTCAAAACCCCTACTTAAATGTAGCCTCCAAAACAGTCTCTACGACTGGGCCTTTTTTTTGTTCTTAATGCACCTTTTTTTGTTGATGGCTTCTATTTGTACCCTGGTTATTGTACTGTTCAGTCATACATGTAGACTCTGCTAAGGAGGCTAACCTAAATGTACCTACCATGCACAACACTGTCCAGTCCTTCAGTGCAGTCCCTCCATCAATCACAGACAGCAGGGTGATCGGTTCACAGATCACACTCAGGCCAAACCCAGACAACGCCATGTTCAGTACCAGCAGAGAATGGTTGCTCTTCAAAGTCGCCTTTCTTTGCAGCATCGTCACAATCACCAAACCGTTCAGAACGACGGAAACGACCATTATGATAACAAGAGTGGTCACTGCCACCCATCTATTGAACGCGGATGTCTCACTGTCGTTACTTGCAAACGAAGGAGTTGTGAAGTTACAAGCCGATCCATTGGTGATGGGTGTAGATGAAATATTATCAGTACAGGGCATTCCAGTCATAGCGGACATGTTGAAAAAATCTGACAAGGACATTTGTCATAGAAGATTGACAAGCAGTCCAGATCTAGCAAGATACTGGAGAAACTGCTAAACGCGTCTGTCTCTCTTTCACATCCTGTGTGATCTAATGTATCGTAAGTCTTGTTTTTCAAGTACTCACTTTCCCACTACCATTATGTAAACATTGCATAGATTGAATAGCATTAACCTGCGTCTATGGTGACTGGTTTAATGTTTAGATGACGTGCAGACACAATCAACCAAGTGCAGGAAATGAGACCATATTTGATGTCATCACAACCTCTCTATATATAATTACCATATCAAGTTCAGTTTTCTGAATGAAGATACAAAAGGTCTGTGATACAATGAAGTTATGACACAAAGATTCATAGACAACAACAAAGGCAATGCGTTAAAACCATTATGTTCAAGTACAAATGTTTATACACTTATATCAATAACTATTTATCATACACAATCATCACACAGTTGTCCAATCATGCAATATTACTATGTTCATTATGATATTTTTTGGACAGATCTTCACATATATTTTCATACAACATATATTTTCATACAACTCCATATCTATTCAGTACTGTGCACACCACACGAGCACATTCTATGGATGGCTGCAATGATCTGTTTGTGAGTGAGTGCGTAGACCACAGGACAGACACTAGCGCTACAGTAGGCCAGCCACATGACCAGAGTTGCAGCCCATGTAGGGAGACCCTGCACCACTCCACCAAATATGATGGTGTACGGCAACCAACAGGCAAAGTGTGTCAGAATCAGTATGGCACCTGGAACAGAAGAGGACACATACTAGAAGTTACTGTGTGGGATCCCTAGGCCTAGTTTAGTTCATGGAAATTAAATCCTGGTATAGAAGGTGATAGACGTGTATGTAGTGAGTTACGCGTATCAACATATTTGGGACATACAGTACAATCAAAATGTGCTGTTCATCTTCAATCAGTTCTGGAAATATTGGACTTGAACTATAGTATAAAGCAGGTTCATACACCAAGTTGACAAAGACGAGTAAAGTCACACATATATGGAACATCTTTAAGAAAATTGTGGATGAGATATTTTGATATCAGTTAAAACCAGTTCAGTACTTACCAGTAAGGGCCACCCTCCTCTCTATCTTCTGCTGTCTTTCTCTGCGACAGTCATTTTCCCCAGGACTTTGGCTCCTGGTCGATTCTCTGGTACTACTGGACATGCTGAGATTCCCAGACATAGTTCTCGTATGCTGATGCTCATCGGGAGCATGAAGGGGCTGTCCTGACATATGTGTTGTGAAGAGTGTGTTCCTAGCTGCTGCCCTGTAGAAAACTTCTTCTTCTCTTACATTTGAATGTCTGTTGTGTCTCGGATAGTGTCCCTCAACCTTGTCACGTTTGGGTACTGAGAGATACTGACACTTTTTCTCTTCAGCCCAGGCCTCTTTGACTGTGCAGGATTTTTTCTTATTTGCAGTTACACATGGAACTGCTGTAGAGTTGTTATCTTCACAGTGATAAAACGAAGACTCCTCATCTTTTTCCTCTTCCATTAAACTTGAATCGTGGCAGCTGTCATACCGTTCAACAACGATAGTGATCCGACGCTTGTTCACATCATACTTTGCTTGTCCCAGACCCTGTTTATTTCCAAAGAAATTTATCACATGATTTGCAGGAGGATCTAAAAACCTTTTGTTCTCCGTGAGAGACATCTTGACCCTTGTGGCAAACTGTGTTTTTATGTCGTTACTCTTTGAAAAGATACAATTTTTGGAACTACTGGGCATTGAGTACATGGTGCTAGATGGTCGGCTATTCAAGCTAGGAACCTCACGGTCGAGATCCCTCCAGGCATTTAACCGTCTGTAGCTCCGTCTGACAAAAACAAAGATTGACACGTAGCAAAACAATATGATGGTGCTTGGTACCACGATACCAATGACGGTACAAGTCACACGGTAGCTGACATTGCTCCAGTCAGGAGAGCAGTGGAAAGTTCCGGAGTGGTACCCATAACTGGACCAGCCAAACAATGGGAAAATTCCACAAAGCCCGGAGAATATCCACACACAGGTCACCACGACCTTCAGACGGAAGGGAGAGAGAATGGCGGGGTAGTGGACGGCCTTACAGATGGCAAAATAGCGATCGATGGAGACGATAGACAGGAGCATGGTGGAGCAGATTGGGAAGGTAACAGATGTAAAGCCATTCGCCTGAGTAAAAAAAAAGAATTAACTTTAGGTTTAAGGATAATTTTATTTTTATCAGAACTGATGCCTTTATTAAATTTATCATCTCTAAACATTGCTAAAGGGGAGGACTCTCCAGAAAACAGATTTCCTGTGTGAAAAACTGTACCTACCATACATAGTGTCCTTGACCCCTTCAGCACTGCTCCATTATCGAACACAGACAAGATGGTCAGTGGCATGCAGGCAATGGTCAAGCCCAGCTCGGACAGCGTCATGTGCAGGATTAACGTGGAGTGGTTTGTCCTCAGGGCGGTCTTTCTACGCAAGATGACCACGATCACCAGCACGTTCAGGACGAGGGACGCTGCCATGATGATTATGAGCGCTGCAGTTTTTCCATGCCCAACGGTTGCAATTTCTGAGGGCTCAGTAAGCGTCTGTGTACTCAAACTTGGTGACTCGGTCGAATTCATTGCAAAGTCCTTCAGGCCAATTAATTTTTTGAATATGAACTTTTGGTGAGAGCAAAGCTCTGTCAAATACAAGTTAGTATGGACTGTTAATCCCTACAACAGTTTACGTCACAAAATATTCTGCATGTATGCTTTCTGAAGGTACATGCATGATCTGGTGTACATTATACACGTGTAGGAGCTGTGCAAGTCAAGGCCGTCTCTTCAGGCTAATATTCTTATGGACAGTATTTGCCTAAGATAGAATTCCTCATGAAAATTTTATACCACTAATTATGTAAACACTGTTTGAAGATAACATGTCTAGGGTGACAGAGCTAATGTTTTGGACACAAGAACATGAAGAAAAACATTGACAGTATGAACAATCTCTCTCTCTTTCTCTGGTATGGTAATATGTGCAACAATGTCAATTTCCTAGATTGGCATTGCTTTTAGTGAAACTCAATATGTATGAAAGGATGACGTGCAACTATGTTAGGTATGGCCTTCCCTTCTTGGAAATCAAAAACATCAAATTAGCCAGGGGTTCCAAGTTTTTAATCAGATAAATGAATGGATAATGTAACAAAACAAAATGTGGTAATAACTCAAGTACTGCAGATAACCCTGACATATGTGAGGAGAGTACAGTGATCTTCAATTTTTTGCTTTGGGGCCCAAATGATAATCCTTGGTTGACATGTAGTCCAAGTACTAAAATCAGGCTCACAATGTTTTAATAAGTACAAACACATATACTGTATTGTTGTTCTTAATTGAGTTTTTAATTTTTAGAGTTTTTCTAATTATTTGCTATTAAAGTAGAAAGTTTCCATTTAAATGTAATGCTGATATCATCCCTCTTGCTCTTTTCTGTACGTGTATGCAGAAGGAAACATTGTGAATCAAACCCTGAGGTAACAACAAACTTGAAGTCCAACTCAACATGACAACAAACTAAGAAAGCTGTATTTTGGACATACATTATTGTAAGTGTTACGTTGAGTCTTTAGTGATGTCAGGTTCGTAGTCCCTCTCTGTCAGGATAGCTCCAGCCTGAAGACAGTCACTAACCCACTCTGGTGTCACAAGATGGTGCTTCTTTGTCCTCTGTCTTCTTAAGGCCTTCACTTCATCCAGTCTGCTCAAGTCACTGTGTGGCAAGATGTAAGAAGTTATCACTAAAATCTGCTACAGTACATGGTTCTGTCCTTAGTGGTGAAATGTGATCCTACCCTACCACCCCTGCTACAGTACATGGTCCTATCCTTAGCGCTGAAATGTGATCCTACCCTTCCACCCCTACTACAGTACATGGTCCTGTCCTTAGTGCTGAAATGTGATCCTACCCTCCCACCCCTGCTACAGTACATGGTCCTGTCCTTAGTGCTGAAATGTGATCCTACCCTCCCACCCCTGCTACAGTACATGGTTCTGTCCTTAGTGCTGAAATGTGATCCTACCCTACCACCCCTGCTACAGTACATGGTCCTGTCCTTAGTGCTGAAATGTCCTATCCTACCTTATATTATCTTTGTATTGAAGTCCTTACCTGTTGTGGAACAGCACATGACTAACATCACTGTCCAGGATAGGGCTGACTGTTGCTCCATGAAAACGAACCTCCAGAGCTACCAGGTCCAACGGACAGTCTTTCATCCTCTGTACAGAAATATCATGTCATGCTTATCTTAACACACAATCATAGTGCAGAAAGTACTACCATTTTGAATTATGAACTTGTGCTACAACAGTTTCATAGATACACTGAGATGATTTCAAGCTCCACATACTTTCATGTGTAAGTCAATACATCAGACACAGCACTGGTATCAAGAAGGGGCATCCTGACATATATTGTCTAGTGGTGAAAGCTTGTATATGGGAGGCAATTGTATATAAGGCAATGTAAAGTAAAGTTACTACTGGTAACTGTCCATAACCATGAGATTTACACTAGAGAGTTGACCTATTGTGTTTCTATATCCTAACTCATACTTACAGTAGACTGGTCCCCGATGACATGACAGTTGTCCACATACAGCCTGTCGGGAAAATGTTACATGCTTTACTATATTATTACTTATACAGAGGATCATGGTGGGTTCATACTTCATTGTCATGAGTTCACCATTTTGTTGAAGCACAGTTGCTATTAATAGTGTTAAGACATTATAATTAAGGCAAAAAATTAAGGAAACAAAGCATTTGCAGTGATGTAAATGTATCTAATTTTCTTAATTTTCATTTCCTTTGAACCTTTCATGAAGCATTGTCTACCTATTCAGCATTTAATGAAAGTACAATTACAGATGGCAATGTTACCTTACCTACAGAGCCTGAATAGCCCCAAGGGTGATTCATTAGGGAAATACTTTTCCTCCATTTCTGCAATGTCCATGCTGGTGACCTTGGAGCTTGATTTCTAGTATGATCATAAGTACAGTACATGTAAGAATACAGTTCATCATCACAAACAGTCACAAAGTTAGATAAGGAACTGATTTAGTACATCAAGACCACCCACCTCTTCCCCGATCTTTTCAAAGACCTCCTTCATACTGTTCACAGTTGCGTCATCAGTGAAGCTGTCTCCATGGCGATCAAACTGCAGAGCGAACCGTGCGGCGGTGTCAGGGGACATGTGGATCATGTGGGAGGGCAGCCAGGGAACACTCCGCTTCTCCTCCTGATAAATGATTTTAAAAATGTGAAAATTTTAAAACAGACATGTCATTTCAATGCATTTCTATTCCAATCCAACTATGAATATACAACATAATTTTATATAATCTAAAGTCAAAATCAAGGCAGAATTAAATAGAAATTGTATCATGGTATGCCTGGTAAACATAGGACATGAACAACAATTATCTTTACATTTTAAATATAACTTCAATAACTAATCTATAACATACCCAACATCTCAGAAGCCATTCCGCCTTGACAACATCATACTTGCCACCACTGTGGACAAAACAGGAGATGTTATCAACTGCAAGACAAGTGCATCACTACACGATGTAGTGGAGAAACTCAGTAAATCCATCTACACAAGTTTCAAGGAGAGAAAAGATATGTAAATTAAACGTATAGATAAAACATATGGTGTCCTATTACTCTCCTGTATCTAACTTACTACATTAAGCTCCTTGAATGTGCAATAAACATTGTCATTGTCCCACACAGAAAACATCCATTTTTAAAAGATCTTCACCATGTCATGTTTGTTTGGTTTGAGCTCGTACCTTATGATGTTGTTGACCCTGACATTGACCTTATGAGCGAGCACACAGGCAGTGTCAGGTCCCGGAGCCTGGACGACCGTGCCTCCGTACGCCACCACCTTCTTCTCCAGGTCTGCCTTCCCATGCTCGGGAGGACCGTTGATGATACAGAACTCTCTGTCTTCAAATATGGTAGAAACCTGCAGAAAAGGTTTGCCAAGAAATAAAGTTTGAACTTGAAAGTTTGTGCATCATCTGCATAATGTGACGTCACATGTTTCTGGTAACTTTTGAAATGTACTTCACCACTGCACAAATCTATAGCAGCTGTCCTCTTCAACTGTAAGGTAGTTTAAATGTAGCACTGTTCTCAGACCTGCTGCACTTTGGAAGTGTCTGCTGCCTTGAACTGCGGAGCGACCGTGATCGGCTTCTCCACACGAACCACCGTCCGACGCTTCTTCTTAGCCGGCTCACCGCTGTCATCTATCCCAGCATGCCTGGAGGCAAGCTTCCCCTCCGCATTCTACACAAACGGATCAAAACTGTGTCAGAAGTGAAATGTGTGGAGATCAGGTGCAGAATTTTGCAAGAACAGCAAGTGCTCCTTCACCAAACAAACAAATAAACTAGACAGGTAACATTTGCAAAGCAAATGCATAATGTTTACCTTTGCATATGGTCTGCTCTGGTAATTCTTACTCAAACACATTCACATATATGGGGACACGAGTCTAAATCCCTCCTACTATAGAATTGCAACATTGTGTAACCCAATACCAGTTAACATCGTAACAACTGGTCTGGTTCAGGTCATTGACCTGTTTGGTTTGGAGAAGAAGAAGAAGAGGAAACAGAGCAAACAAACCTTACCTTTCTCATGTCATCCAGTTCCTCCAGGGTCATACAGTCAAACCACTCCTTGTCATCCCGCACTTTCTCCAGACGTGGGAAACGTAGAGTACATCCTGTCTTAAATCTACACAGGAGGAATCACTATGTTTTTACATCTGTCAATTATGATGGAAATGATGATTAACAAATCTGGCAATGCAATGTATTTCATTTTTAAACTACAAAGATGAGTCAAAAAGTCAACTTCTAGAAAACAACACCTACTTGTCACTCTCAATGATCTCTGCAGCTTTGATCTGAACAATAAGTGACTGTTCTGGATCAATCCACACATCAGGGGCTTCCTGAAATATATCAAAGGGGTATCAAACTTTTTCTGTAAACTAAAGGTACAAAGGCTCATGGAGAAACAGTTGGTCAATTATTGGTTAATTCACCTTCAAGTTGTTAAACCCCTTTGAATTAGTTGTATGCCCAAAAAAGACTTACATTGTGTAAGATTCTTGATCCAAAATACAGTATTCCAAAAGTACCCGTAGGATTGAGCTACTCCTTACATTTTTGCCCAGTAGTATACCATGTACCTACCTTGTAACCAGAGGGAAACATGATGTTGGTTTTGGGTGGCTTCTTCTTGTCAAAGACCCTCCAATGTGGGTGGAGCTTCTGCCCCATCTGGTACAGTTCCTTCAGTGTGTAACCTGATCCAACCTACAGAAATACATCTAGATTATCATGTGTACATTCAATTACAGTTCAAACCTGCTTGGTAAAAGTACTACATGTACCTGCTTCAGAAGCATTACAGTGGCCTGTCAAACCCAAGACTTGCATGTCTGATTCCATTGCTAAATTGGGAAAGCTATAATCTAAAAGGGAGGTAGTAAGACTTTTGATTTCTACTTCAAACTTGGTAATGTGATTCAATAAGGTTGAATTCTTACTAAAAATACAAGGCCTCGCATAATTAAAAACATAAATGATAATCCTAAGTAAAATGATTATGAGTCTCACCCTACAGAAAGTGTGGAAGAGTGCAGGCTTCTCTCCCGGAGTGGTCGACTGGACAGCAACCGCACACAGGAAGTGGGAGATCATGTGACTGCGACGCTACATTTAATAACAGTATTGTTCACTTATATGAACATTTTCTCAATTTGCCACATGTAAATATACATCGTAAGTAAGGCTTGAAGAAGAATAGAGTCTGACATTGTGTCCCAAAAATATGTATGAATGACAACAAAGAAATTCAGACTTACCCCTTTACCAAAGTAGCCACCTACAATCACAACATCTACCTGTAAAGCATGTCACCAATTCTATTAGTATAATTCACAATATAGTACCATCATCATGAACAATAAAATCATAATCACCTTGTCTTTGCTGTAATAAACCTGTAACATTACCTGGTCCATCAGTCCATCCACATACTCAGGCTTCACCTTCAACCAACCACTTCCTGGGAAAAGTAAATTTTAAATCAAAATCTCACAGAAAATCTCTGAGGAAATAGGACATGTTCACAGAACTTAATCTGGAGGGGCTTAAGACAAATGATTTGGTAATGGTAATGAAAATTTCAACTGACAAACAGTTAAAACTGTTAAGTTCAACATAAAAGTACTGTAAAAACAATCAGGAACTACAGTGTACAATCATGCCATTTATTTCAGGGATCATGAAAAGTAGCAAACACAAAGTGTAGTCTTCTATTAAAAGTTAGACTAAATGGACAAACCCTTTCTCTTGTCTGGAGCGTACTTGGACCCTGGGTACTTGATGACCAGTCCTTCTTCTCTCCTGTCAATGGCTTCATTCAAGGCATCAATTACCTCAGCCCTGGTGGGAAAACAATCAATGACACTTTTGATTCTGAGGTGAGTTAAGATCAAAGAATGAAGGGCTGGCTTTCATTTACGTAAACCAAATGCAGTCAAACTGAACAGAATGATTTAGATCATAATAACCATAGTGAAAGAGCACTATAAGTAATATATGTAGAAAAGACAGAAAGCAAATTGTTTGGCACTTAGTAGTAAATAGCAAATTGTGAAATGCAATCTAGCTGGCCCACCACACAATTGTCCAATAAAAAATGGCACAAGACTTTCCTTAAAAGTTATCGATTCATTAAAGCAATGTTTCTACAGTAAGATATTTCAGGTTGGACAACTCTTAACTCACTTTGTTCTTGCCTCCTTCCTGTCTCCCAGAAATAAACGGCCCTCAATTGGTGTGAACAGTCTGAAGGAAAAACACAACAAGCAACTTGTCTCAGGTTATAACAACTACAGGAAAACACATTCAATTTGGAAGATTAACATTAACGATGAAATTTGCTGATTTTGAACTATTTTGAATGAAATTCTTCATCTTCTGCAATGACAACAAAGATCCCAATATTTCAAGTGTGCTACAAGCATAAAGATTATTCATTAGAGAAAGAGCTATCTTGGGAAAACAATGGATGCAAAATAATATAATACAATATAATACTGACTTGTCAAGATAGTCCACCCTTTCTCGAAGAGGACTGTTGGCAAACTTCTGTCCATTCAGCAGTAGGATGTCAAACACACAGTACATGGTCTGTAAGTCTGTAGGAAAACGGACAGTTAGCACACTGTTGGACTGGTATAACAAAAAAATACAACATCATTGATTTTGCCTGGGCATGAAAATGTTTCATCAGAACATAAAAGATGATGCTAGTGATATCTTTGGTTTTGACAATGTACATGAACAGCAAAAATCATTCAGATTTTCTGTATGTGAGCTGTGTTGCTTCTTTTTTGCTTACCACTGTCTTCTGCCATATTTTTTATGTCAAATTTATCTCCTTTAGACCTGCAAGCAAAATAAAAACAATTAGTAAATAATTTAAAGTATCTTGTGACATATGAGACATGGTGACTTTTGGTAACAAGAAAGGGACAACTATTCGAACTTTCAAAATTTAGCAAACAACATGAATGTACAATTAAACTGATATACCTACATGATGGACTTAGTTTGTGGGTTGTAGCCCACCATTTCTCCATCCAGGATACAGGACTTCACGTGACTGGTAGTGGTAGACAAAATAACAGAAAATCAGTTGTGCTATGTATTTTCAAACAGACATTTCATAAAAGCAACAAGACTGTATCATACACAAATCCATTATTAGGAATAACATTTACTTCACTTTCCTCACAAGTTAAATTAGACTGTGTCATTGAATCTATTGAAAAAAAAAGTGTCATGCATTCTATATCAACATCACTAGAGCCTGAAAAAGTCACTTAGTTTAGCATACAAGACATAGACAGACCTACCTGGCAAAAGAATTATGTATGTATGGAGTGAGACTGCCTTCCAGTGGGTGGGCACCAAACTGATGAGTGTAGTCTTTCCCACTAGATAGGACAATTAAAAAAGTTAGCTCTTGGTGCTGGATGCTAACCCTTTACTTAACTTATTACAGCTTGCCAAGCAATAGCCTTACGCATATTGATTCATATGCTTTTGATGATGTTTCTTCCTATAGCATGTGAGTAATAGAGTATTTAGCATTTAGTCACATCACATTTAGGAAGTTACAGCTTAAAATCCCAGTGAAAACAAAAGAAAGAACTTACGATCTGGAGAAGTACTTGTAAGTGTCTCCATCCTTGTGTAACAACATCCTCTCACCATCAAACTTGGTCTCTATGTAGAACATCTCATGGTGCATCTCCTTTTCTACCTGGAACAGATGTAACAATATTTGAATGATCAGAAGTAAAATTAAGAAGTAGTTCCAATATTATAAGAGGCCCAAAATTCTAATTCTAATATCCTTTACATTTTTTTATAAAACCAACAAGCTTCCAGAGACTTTTAGGATGAATTCCCATTTCCTATTTCCTAACATACATACATACCTGTGGTGACACAGTCTATGCTATAGCATTACCAACAGATCCAGTGGCCATGTTCATACTATATGAGATTATAAAAGGACAGACTCACCCCATCCAGTGGTATCCTCTGTCCCAGCATAGGTTTGAATGGTGAGAACAGACTGATGGCAATCTCATTCAGCCGCACATGGGGATCTCTCAGGTCAGTACACACCTGAAATACCAAGAAATACAAAGAATGTCAAGACTATATGATGATTTTGTGTTGTACGAAAGAAGAAGACTACTTCTTGGGACTGTTCTTTGAAGTTTTGAGAAATTACCACATGATGAACTTCTGCATACCTGCACACGTGCACGCATGTAGACACACAGACAAAAACACACACAATTCCTGAGCTAATTCAAAGCAACAAGTTTTTATTGATGATATTGAAATTAAGATCAAATCAAAGGTTATCAAATTGTGTGAAATATGATGACCATTTATTTAAAAAAAACTATTTCCCTGACCTTGGCCAGACTGTTGGTGACGTTGAACAAGTCCTCTGCATCAGGGTGGAAAACTGCAAACACTCCAGCCTGGTTCATTCCCATCTTCAACTCCTGATAGAAACAACATACATTTTATAGGTGTAAAACTACATGTACAGTCCTTTCTTTTTTGTGATTCAAGATCTCCATATACTATATATAGATGACATCATTTGCAAAGCTTTAAAAGAAAGGGTCATAATCTCATATGCTATGCTGCTCACCTTCATTATCATCCTTATCAGCCATTTCTGTGAGGAAAAGACAAATAAAACTCATCATAAGACTCATCATAATCTTAAATTACTTGCATGTACATGAAAACCTTTTATCAGATCTAAATATGTTAGTATAATGAGATGTAATGATCTAAGTAAGGCCAGACCACCTGTTCCATGGCTGAGGTACTCCTGAGTAGTTTCAGGATGCTCCTTCTCACTTCCTCCTTGTTCTTGGCTGCATTGTTTGTCGCGATGGAGTCCAACAGGTCATTGACCTCCTGAATTGTCAAACTGGAGAAACAGGCAATAAGTCATCCTACAAACTGCCATATCTTTGATATTGTGTTTAACTATATCCACCACTCTGGAAGATTTGACCAATCTCATTAATGTTATGCTATAGGTATTGGTGCGCCAGCCACTTTTATTTTATGTTTATGTTATACTTTATGTCATCTTTATGTTAACATTTGTATTATGTTTTATGAGCAGCGGATTCACATAAGCACAACAAGTGCTTCCTATCCAATGCTCAAAAATCCATGTGAATAAAATAAAATAAAAGTCATCCAACTTTAACTGTTACCTATATTTCTCATAGTCTATAAATCTATCATTATTCAACTACTTGCATCAAAAGTATGCATCTTAAAAGCTAAAAACATGTACAGGTGTACCTATGATACCGTATGCATGCCTGTTTGTATCTAACAAATGTCTGCTAAAGGGATGTTTTTTTAGAAGATTTTGCATCACATGTCCATCCTTACCTGCCCTTCTCTGGACACCTGTTCTTCAGGACAAAGTAGGCAACAGCTGCAAAATCACCCGCTTCCTGAAGATTGAAACAAATTGTAGTTCAACAGTTTTATTTTCATATTCTTGAAAGTCTTTTTATTGTTGTTTGTCTGTCATCCTCGACGATGACCAGTGACATCACGTCAGCTTTTTTGTGTCCAGCTGTAGCTATATTGGCTATATTAAAGTCTTTATTACTTTTGGATAGCTAAATGTACAAAGCTATACCACCTACCCCTTTAGCATGTGAAGGTGCCCTGTACTTCAGCAGTTTCAGTGCATCTGGGCTGTCTTTGGCCAAACCCAGGATCTCGATGTAGTACTTTGCAAGGGTAAACTGTAATTCAAGGATAAGACAGTTCATATATCAACACAAAATGCAGTTTTAGTCATACATAAAAGTCAGTTCAATTCCTGTTATTGTATGTTTTAACATGAATGACAAGTGGGAAGTTTTCTCATGAACATTATCAGCATAGTTGGACACATTGTATCACATGGTCAGACAATAAACGAGCGTCCTGACCTCTTTGATGCCATAAGCGATCCTCTCCCTCTCACACTGTGGTAGGATGAGTCTCATGGCTGGGTAGAAGGAATCCTCCTGGATATAGACACAATAGTTATTGAACTTACAGTGACAACAGTTATTCTCGTGACGTCTGCATATTCATATCAGGATGTACTACTTGTTTACCTGATGAGGTTTAATATGTGACTTAATTTTCATTTGGCCATATCAAATGAACTTGAGCAGTGATGCTGTGTTTAATATATGCTAATAAGCTGGTGTGTCACACCGAAGGGCAGTTGTACCTGCTATACAGATACAGATATCATACAGAAATTGAAAGTAGAGCTACAAGCATCACATGTATGAATATAAGGTAAGAACCTACAGTGTTTGGATCATCCTTGTGCACAGAGTTGTGAAACTCTCTCCACTTGTCAAGGAACTCCTTGAAGACTTTCTTCTTGTTGTCCTTGCCCTTTGCCCTGTCCACCCCCTCCAGCATGGTACAGAGGTGGGTGAAGGGTACTGTAGCTGCCACGGCCATCTCAGCACCTGGAACAACAATCAAGCATGGTACAGAGGTGAGTGAAGGGTACTGTAGCTGCCACGGCCATCTCAGCACCTGGAACAACAATCAAGCATGGTACAGAGGTGAGTGAAAGGTACTGTAGCTGCCATGGCCATCTCAGCATCTGGAACAACAATCAAGCATGGTACAGAGGTGAGTGAAAGGTACTGTAGCTGCCATGGCCATCTCAGCACCTGGAACAACAATCAGTTCTTCTGTTGGAAACAGTTCAACTTTTCCATACCCTCTACAGTTTGTACTATAATTAAAACCTGTCAATAGTGTAAAAGTTTGTGCTGTTGACAGGATGATCCTGTCAATAAGATGGCGTAATGCGCAGCTGCTAGTAATCTTCTTTTTAGAAGGCTAAGCAGTATCGAAGATGATGATGATGATAATTTTTCATATTATCTATTGACAGGATGATCCTGTCTATAGTGCAATTTTTTTAAGGATCATCATGTCAATAGCCTTTTAGGAATTCTGTAATGAGAGGTCTTCGTTCAACACAGGTAACGTTACGTTTTCAACCATAATTGAACTCTTTCAATTCTACCTCCATGGTACAACTTAGGTGCTTGCTTCAATAATTTTTGTTACTTCCGCATTCGACCAGCACCCGGCCTTTTACTAACTAGCAACGATCAGGGCGACAACTGAAACGTAAAACGAACTCTAACATACCTTAAGATAGTTATCTGTTGTTGTGTTCTGTTAAAATGTCCTGAAATCTCAGAAACATGACAGAAAACCAGAACATTCAAGTTGAAACACGCCCACAACACGCCAGCTTCCTAACACTGGATGTTTGCCGCAAAATGAAGAGCAATTTTACGACGCCTGCATTTGCAACCTGCATTTACCGAACATCATTGAAAGGACATTATGGCACAGTTTTTACTTCTAGTGTGACAAAAGTATGCTAAACTGTGACCAACGACAAGTAAGTTGAAAAAAGTGACTAAGAAAGGTATTTACTATAGTAAACGTAAATCGGCACACTGCATTGGAACAGTACACTTTGGACTGGGGGGTGTGAAGCATGAAGCTAAAAACATCAGCATGGTTTATTTGCGCCCTCTAGCGGCTATTGAAATCACAACCGCAAGATGATATTCAATGACATGCTCTTAATGGCATCTAGTTTTCTTTCTTCCTTGAGTGAATAAAGTAGGGGTGTTTTATATATGTTGTGATTGCTCCAACCAGAAAGTTTCAAACCCCTTCCCAATGTCAAAAGCCATGAAAAAGGAGGATGCCTGGCTTTTTAAAATTGACATTTTGTCTAAGATCATCAGTATTCTTATTACTCCGTGAAGATGTTCTCATTTGGTGTGCATTTCTTTTGATTGCACTGTCATGTTACACATGAGGTGCCATTGGTATGTGGTTTGTGTGTGTACCGCCATGCTTTTGGTTTTAATAAATAGTGATAAACAGTCCCCTTTACATTAGTGATTACTATTGTAATGTATAAATATGAGACACACAATGGAAATGTTACATTTGTAGGAAAATTGCTTTAATTTTCAGTTTCCTCTAACTGACTGACACAGACCAATGTACAGGCTAAGTTAGGATACATACATGTACAGTACAGAGTGGTTCTCCTTCTTACAGTTTCTACTGGAAATACAGGACATGTCAGAGATGGCAAGATTACGTCGCCACTGATGTTTCTACCCAGAAAACAGGGTAACATCATCCTTTTCCTTTTACAGTACAGTTTGTGTAAAATGGTTATTTCAGTTTACATGGTTACAGGGTGTGCAAGATGACAAAGGTGTTATGCGTTCTGCTACATGGTTCCCACTTCGGCATCATTAAATGATCGGACTCATAAGTTCAATATCAAGTAGACATGATACATGTACCTTGTATTTCACTGCACTACACAGTTGAGTACAGTCATGATAGTGTTGACTGCAAGTGCGCTGTGTTTCCTTTGGACAGTCTTTTTATGTTCCAAATTAAACCAAGGAGGTTATAGGGGAGACATATAACCTCCTTGATTAAGCTATATTTCCTTCATGATGATAAAGTTGATTTTCAAAAAAGCTGCAAAAAAACCTCCAGACTAAAAAAAATTTGAACTCAAGAACAGCCTAAAAACACCGTTAAAAACAGCACATTTTTAGTTGTTCAGGCAAAGTGGGAGCCATGCAAACAGGACACATGGACACACCTTAAGGTTGTACATGTAATAATCATCCACATCACCAGAATATCTGTACCTTGTTCTGATACATTGATAGTGCAGTACAAGTGAGGACATTAGTCAGAACAGCCTTCCAAGAAGCTACCTGTCAGAGACCAATCACAGTGGTGGGGAGGGGGGTGTTCCTTTTAAATGAAGTTTAGGATGAAATTGCTGCAGCTTTTAAGTACTAAGCTTTTCGTCAACAAGTTCATGGCTGAACATGTACCATGTATCCCTTGCCACCCCTTATTTGTGATTTGGTACAAAGTTCTGTTTTCTTTAGAGGGTATCCTTCCAGGATACCACCCAAGCATTCATGTCTCAATTCAGTGGGGATCATTTCAAATAGTGGTCCATGGTCAAATGTGTTGTCAGTGCATTATTGCACAACATAGAGGTAAAGTCTGAATTAAAACAGTAATGTTGAGAAGCAAACAAAGAAAAAAAGGATTCATGAATCACAAAAAAAATGGTTCCTTGAAAAATGTCAGGACATGGAAAGTTAAAGAAACCTTTCGATAATAAATAAAATTGGCAACATGTTTCCACATTGAAATCTGCTACTGTATTCATGGAGGTTGGATTGTCCAGACTTTTGAATCTGTTGATTGATGGACAAAATACTGTCAATCAAATGTGTTTCCATGGCTACTGTCAAAGTGGGCATGTCTCCTAAGAGACTTCAACCCTTTTAGTGAGCCAACTTTAGAAACATCAAATTCAGTTGAATCCAGACACTCAAAAACAACCCCCATGCCAGTAACAATTCCTTTACACTCAGGTAAAATCAGTCAAACCCATTCAAGGTCAGAACAGTCATGTCAAGCTGCAGTCCTGTCTGTTCAACATTCAGGGGCAGTACATCCTAAAGTCAAAAGGGGGCTCTTTATCACAGGATGCATACTTGCCAGTTGCACAGCAAACTTTGCTGTTGGGCAAGGTGCCTCCCAATGCTCTGAGCACTGGGTTTTGTAACAGGTATGTCATTTGTAGAATGGTGGCTGCCAAATTTCATAGAAAATTGTTAAATGCCACACTCTACATTGGATAGGATGGTTGTAACAATGTCCAAATCCATCCAGCTCAAGACGTACATGTACAACATGTACATGTACAACATGTACATGTACATGACCAAATTCCCTGGAGAACAGACATTTGGGTACAACCCTGACTACAGCTGACAATCCATGCCTCTGCCTACCACATGGGTCAAAAGATACAGCAAATCAAAGACCAGCTTTGAGTCATCACAAGATTTCCATTAAACATCCCCTAACAGTCAGCCAATAACCCCTCTTCCTGCCAGTACAATGGACTCTTCCACACCAGAAGCGCCTGCACTTGGCACATTCCACTCGTTTAGAGAGGGTTGTCAGGGTCAGGGAAAAAAATTGCAGCAGGGTCATTTCAAGAACGAATGAAATTCCACTGGCTGCTTTTAATGGAATGTGAGGAAAACTCTTCTTCTTTACGACGCATCTCTTATAATTTGACAAGGGCCTTTAAGATTGTGTAAGCACATCTACAGACAACCTACACTTCCAAGCAATGGTAATACAGTCATGGTTTGTTTTGTTACATGTTTTGAGTCTTTTCCGCATTCCTTCCTAGTCTGTCACTTTAAGAAAACAACCCAATTTAAGGTCTGCCTTTTCGTACATCCAGTCTCACATTTAACAATTTCGGTATGCTTTCAAGTTGACCCATCAGCATACAGCAAGTACATACAAAAACCCACCCCAGTGAGCATACCAGCCAATCAGAAATCACTTTTCTTTTGCCACTTTCAGTAAAAATATTGTCATGGCCTTTCTCTCTTACCAACTCCCAACACTATACAATCTGCATGTCTAAGTACACAAACATCATGTACATGCTCACAACAGTCATGTATTTAACAGTATACAATGGTGTGTATACCTATCTATATACACGGACCAGTCATAGGGCTATTATACAGACTGATGGATCAACGGCTTGTACATTTTTTTTGTACGATCCAAGGCCAGCGTACAGTACATTGAGGACATTTACAATTTAAGTACCGTTGGGTAACTTACTACCTTTTTTTGTAACACATTAATATTACACAAGAACTGTTGATATGGTATACTGTATACTTTGATCACATACCTGGGCGGTACAACGTACTGTTACCATTAAGTAATGATCATTTCTATTGGTCGGTGTTTGTAAGATCTGCACTCATTCTTTGGTCGAATTGGCCAATCGGCTCCATTCATTCATACAGTACTGGGCAATCATACATACCTGTTCTACATACATGTATTAACATATGTGAAGAGTGCAGATATTGCACCAGGGATTACAACTTCGACCAATATACTGGATATTGTCTTTAACTTGGTAGTCCACAGAACTATAAAAGTCTGGCATTAACGACACAGACAACGTCTTCACTGGGTTAGCATATAGAGGTAAACACTGTTTACTACCATATTGAACGAGTGTGCTCTACATCACACACTTTAAACTTCCATACTGGAATATTCAATGAAAATAAATTTCTTTCTATCATAATAGCATTTTGGGGAATGGAGTCAAGTGTGCCATATGATTACTTCAGGTTCTTGTTACTTCTGTAAACAGTTAGTGGTCTGAAGTAAAAACAACTTTAGTAGCCAAAATGTATGTAGTTTTTACATTTCGGTTTCACTTCTTTTGACATCTCCCAATTGATAGAGGGTTGATGGTCTTAGACCTAGTTATGATTATTGATAAAAACAAAGACGCCAAAGAGTCATTGGTAAAAGAAAATCACTAACTCATTAACCGGAGACAGCTCAATCAATTTCCTTTACAAGACTGGTCTAAATTATTAACACAGTCAGTTCTTGATTGCTTCTAAACTTGGTCAACTTTGGACTAAATTGATTAAGCTTCAACCACCTTGGTGTTAAGTCATTAATGAATAATATTCACTGATGTTGTGGTAATATTTCTCTCAACTATGGCTCAGAAGGACATTCTATGGAATCAGTTACAAGTGGTATTGACAGGTTAATTAACCATCAACCGCTTAGTCTGATTATAATTTGTTGTTTTCAATAACCAGTTGGACTTGTTGATAAGGTACACAATACTTGAGAGTAGGTCTCTTGTGTGGCACAACATGGTAGACACTAGAACACCCTTTCTCCTTTGATCTTGTCCTAGGTCGTTTTGTTGGTTTTAAGTTTTTAAATTAATAAATCAAGTATGAGGTAATGAACAAAGACTGGAGCAACTGTCGTCACCACGAAGCTGTGGAATTCTTGAAGTTGACGGTGCCGGTGGTCGCGTCCGAGCAGTCATCTGAGCTCTCGTCAGAGTCCAGCATGGCCAGGGGGTTCTGAGTAACGAACAAACAACTCAGATCAACTACACTGATATAGAACATAACTGCAAAATCTAATACACTATTTTCCGACACAGAGTATTTTTAGAAGCTCGTATACTATGAGAAATTGGGTTCTGGAGCACAGGAGTGGTAAAAAAATTAGCTGGAAATTATATATTTTCCATAGTTTAGTCAGGTTTCTTCACAATGGCAGCATTTTGTGAAGTGACTTAAAACCCTATGATGTTATCTACATACATGTATATGTACTTATCTCGGAAAACAATTTGGTTACTAGAACAATAAAACTACATGCACAACAGATGCCATGTTCAACAGAATTCAGATAATATACTGTATCAAATTCTGACATTAAAATTGTGCACAGGGAAACTTTATCTGTGTTTTCATCTGAATAGCTTATGCAGCATAACTGAACTTTCCAATAAAACACAGAGCGCAGCTGCTTGTAATGTTCTGACTTTTGCAATTTGTCACATGTAAGCACTGCCTACACATGTACCTACATATAACCTTGACTTTCATATAAAGCTATCTAATGCAACCCCCTACCATATACGAGGACATAAAGTTGAGCCCTACAGTGGTTCCTGGTTATGTAAAGACAAACATCAAAACTAACACACTTCATGTTGAATGGCTGTTTGGGTTTCTTCCCTGCAGCTGATATAAGCTAGTCAATAGGCATACACGGGTAAATGAAAGAGCAGACGTACCTCGTAAACATGCTCGCGCACCTGGGACCTGACTCTGCGTACGTTCATCTCCTTGTCGGACAGACCGTCGGAGAGCGAGTGCGCCATGTCGGCCAGCGAGTGAGCCACGTCGTGGAACTCCCCCGTGTTGTTGAAGCTGGAGGTGGTGGACAGGAGGTCAGGGGTCGGGCCCAGCGAACGGTCGCTTGTGTTCTCCTCCTCAGACATCCCGCCTTCCGAACTCACCGTGGAGTACGACTGACGACTGTTGGGACAGCGAATCGGGCGGCTGGATGGATAGAAAGAAACATTTTAGTTAATTCCTATTGGTTGCAATCAGTGATTTTTATTGTTACACACCAGTGCTCGAGTCAGCATTTGTTTTCCATCATTTCATGGAATTTTGTATTTTGACAGGCAAAATTGATGTGTAAAGACACAAAGAGATGTCATTAAACTCACCTTAGTCCACCAGCAAAATTTGCAGAAAATGGCATTTTTGGGGGCCAAATTTTCGAAATTTTCTACATGAATCATGCCCCTGAACACTCTAGCATTGTTGTGCCAAGTGTTGGATCAAACAAAATTGAGATGATGGAAAACAAATTCAGGCCGACTAGAACACATACCGGTATGTAACGTTATATTTAGAAACAAAAAAGAATAAAAGACAAAATCTACTTGAAGTACCACCAGGGAAGCAGACAGATTTGAGGAGTGCCTTATCATGTACACAGTGTTTCCTCTTACCTTTGTGCCCGTGGAAAATCAATCTCACTGTCCACTTCACCTTCCTCCTCTTCTGAAGACGACTCTTCAGCATTCTGTTACACAAGACAGGATTTGGTCAATACATGACATGGGAAACTATGGGTTGTACTCACTTCCTATTAATATTGGCTGTTACATTCCACATCTCATGTGCAGGTATCAAATTAACCATAGCAAAAAATTACAAAAAAAAAGTTTTTTGTGTTATGCTTATGCATCTGTTAAGTCCTTCTCATTACATTTATCTAATGCAAAGTGTATAATGTAATGTAAGAGAATGAATCTTACCTTTTCCTCATCTCTACTCTGTAAATCAGGCAACTCCTGCTCCTCTTCTGTCTCCTGTGGATGTGTTCCCTCTCCGACATCTTCCTCCTCTCCTGGTCCCTCCACATTCCCAGTGGGGGTGCCACTCCTTGACGGAATACCGTCCACATGTGGGTTTGAATGGGACATGTGACATTTACATGTTACACAGTGCCCGGGGCTGGGAAGAACGTTGTTGGGTATGCACGGCTCTTCTCCCCCTTCTGCCCCTAGTTCATGTTTCTCCTCCTGTTCACTACTTCCCCCGTCGTCGCCAAAGTTGCCGCTATTCCTTCTACTGTCCCCCCTCCCATTGTCACTTTCGCTGGTGGAGCCCTTAGTGTTGATGTTGTATAAAACCTGAGTGAATTCCGCATGAGTTCTACTTGGGCTCTTGCGACAACTGTCCCTACCCCCGTCAGTCCTCTCATTGTTTCTCCTGGAGTCGGAATCGCGCGCGTATTGCCGCATCGCCCTTCCCGGGGCGGAATGCCTGAGAGCAGTTCTGGCAAGACGGGTTTCGTTTGCGTCGTTCTGCAGCGTGGTATCCGACTTGAGGATGTTGTGCAACTTCCTCTCTTTCACTGGACTCATCTGTGAAAGTACAGGAACATAAAAAATCAGTTCACATCCTCAGGGTAAAATAAAGAGTAGCATAACAACAGTGAAAAAAATTCCAACATCACTTCAAGTACTCATGATAAACTCAACCTCTGAGTTGTTTAAAGACAGTCATAAATTGAGAAACTTGTAGAAAAGAGTACAAGGCTCACAAAGAGTCCCACATTGTAATGGATCAAACCAAAGCAAACTACAAAAAACTTGGGGGTCACAACAACTCTTTATGCTGAATTTAGAGGAATATTAATACAGATCCAAGGATGGGAACTTTAGAGAAATTTGGCCACCTTCCTGTGCGTTTCTTGAATAAGACAGCTTTCCCTAGCTTGCACGTCCATTTTTAAAGTTTGCCTACCTTGTTAGATGCGAGTGGTGAGCCTGGTGCGGACCCTGCATGGCTAATCGTGCTCCTGCGGTGCATCCTGCGCTGGCCCCGCAGCTTGCTGGGAGAGTGACGCGGGGTGGACGGGGAGCTGCGGGGGGTGAAGTGGACGTAGTGCTCCGCATCTCCATAGTGCCTGGGCTCTGAGGACGGACTGTCAACTCTGACAACAGGAAACAAGGAGAATGTCTTTAACAACATGTTCAAAACAATACAACTCTCACTGTTAAAAAGATATTTTTCATGCTTCTGCATAAAATCAAATCCCATTTCACAGAGCTAATTTTGGCAAGCTCTTAAGTCTGTGGATAATTTACAGACATGCATGATGAGCTTTCTTCTTGCATTGGTTCAATGTAATTTCTGCTGGTAAAATTAGCAAAATACTGTTTCTCAATAATTGTTTCATCATCATCTGTTTACTGGAAAAATTCCATGCAATAAATAACTTGCACATCAAGACAAAGAAATCTTGAAATGTCGCAACTTTAAGGAAGTCAAGGAGACAAACAAACCTCTGAAGAAGATGAAGACTTGTCTTGTACTTTGCTCCCTTGTTCTTCATGAGTCTCTCCACAGCCTGATGCTGAGCCTTGATCATCGGCTTGATGGAAATCTTCTCCTTCTTCAGCTTCATGTCCAACAGCTTCTCTTTCCTGAAAGGAAGGGTATAATTCTATTAATCTACTGACCAATCATGTCCAAGTCTCCTACCATACTGACTTATATCATTACTTTTTTGTATATACTGAGATTAGCCTAGGTTATTGATTGTAGGGTATAAGAAATTTCTGTGATTCGTTACTTTATTGTGCTATGATGTGTGTATGATTATGTATGTATGTATTTCACAATGTGGGGCCCGACATCAGCTCAGCTGCCAGGGCTTCCACTGTATTGCACTGTATTGTTTGCAATTTAAATAAAAAAATTATAAAAGCTTGTTGGTAAGACCTGATAAGATTACAGTGTGTACATTCACCAAGTAAGAATAAAGAAATTACTTTTCCAGTAGCCTCTAAGCTTTAACATTGTCACCATGTGCATGTATGATCAAGAAAGTACAAAAAACAAAAAATGTCAGCATCATGCACTAATTTCCAACCAGTAAGACAAAAAAAATGGCATTTATTAGTATTAGTAAGCATTTGCCATATTTTTTGTTCCATATACCTTGCATACAAGAGAGAGAGAAGTGTTTGTATACGACACCCATTTTCAACATTAACTGACCCAATTCTTCCTCTTCTTTTTCTTCTCCTTTCTTGCCTGGTGGCACATAAGAACCTAATTATAGAATATCTATGATCTATCTATTAAATATGACAGAAACAAAGCATTGAAATATGATGGGGGTTACACAGCCTATAAACTGCTTACCTCATGAGTTCCCTCTCCCTGTTCTCCAGCTGCAGCATACATGTGCTGAGCTCCATGTACAGGTTGTTGGCTCGCTCCAGTTTCTTCTCGTAGTGCTCGCGGATGTCCATGGCGTGTCGCAGCTCCTCCCGCCTCCTGGACACCAGCTCCTCGTCCAGCTTGTGGATCTGGTTCCCCTCGCTACGGATCTTCTCAAAGTGGATGGAGATTTCTTCCCGCCAACTCTCCTGTAAGATTGATGGAAAAAATAGTTTAAAGAACAATTACAATTAGACCCTTCTTCTACTAAATGCATATTGTCTACATGCATGCATGTGTGTAGCTTTCACTACCAAAATAGCCAAATTTTGAAGATCTGATAAGATTCAACTCTTACAAGGCTTTGCTTCAAACACCAACTTAACATTCTAAGCTGCATAATACACAAGACTTAGTACTCATTATGTACATCTATTTGTGGAAGCAGATTGAAGTGATTTTGGAAAGAACTTAAATCTCACCTGAGTCTTAAAGTAGGTGTCTCTGTTCTGTCCAATGATCTCACATCCAGCAATGTCAAGATGCATGAGAATGTGTTTGAAGGAAGGTCGATTCCGGGGCTTACCCGACCTGAATTTAGAGAGATATACATACTCAGTATTTATACCAGTTACTACAATATCTGCCACAATACAAAAAATAAAGAAAACTTCAAACACATCACACCAAATCTTGTTGTTTGCTTTAAACAAACTAAATGCAAGAGAAACAGAAGCACTGATTCAAAGAAGAACACTTTCAAGACAAAACGGCATTGTTACAAACGCACACAGACGCATGCACACATGCATGCACACACAGACACACACAATGAGAACATACCAGCACTGTTTGAGGAGCAGTTTGAATCCTTCAGGACAGGTGGTGGGTACAGGCAGGTGGAGACTGTTACTCCCCACTCCCCAGATAATGGCTGAAGAGTCAACGTCCTACAGACACACAAGGAATAATGTATCAAGCAAAACATTAGACATTTCATTTTCCACAGCTTGCAAGGAAAGAACAACATTAAATATAGAATCTTTTATTACATTAAACTCCTTGATATATGTGCACTGTTTGTTACATTTTGCTGTGAAATATTTGAAATATCTTATTGTGAGGTCAGAGATACAAAGAAATGTGTGTCTAGATAAATACATGCAAAACTATGCCTACTCCTCATTCTAACTGTTACACACACAAAACCCTGCCTACCTTGTATGGTGACTCCCCAGTCAGTAGTTCCCACAGCACTACACCGAACGACCAGATGTCCACTTTTTCCGACACTGGTTCGTTTCGGATGACCTCTGGGGCCATCCACGCGACCGTTCCCGCAAAGGACATCTGCGTACTTCTGTCGCTCCACAGTTTGCTCGTTCCAAAGTCTGAAATCTTCAGACTGTCATTCACCCCAAGTAGCACGCTGATGGGAGAAGATATCAAAATTACTATCTATCCTCTACTTACACTTGAACCAAGGCATATGTAATAGTACATGTAATACATGTACAACCTCATTAAGTTTATAGTGTAAATGGTATAAGTTATATTGGTTATACATGACTCCAATAGTTTGCCAACAGTATCCAAAGAAACACAAGGGACTTTAAATTTGGCAAGACTAAGGAATTAGTAAATCTAACTAACTAATAGCAACATAGTTAAACTTTTATGGCCAACTGAGTATCAAGGTTTAACGTCATGTGTAAGCATCTGTTTCTGTCTTCATTGTGGTATTTTCATTGCTGTTATAACTGTTGCTTTTGATGTTCATGACTTAAGTGACGACTTTAAACACACATGAGAAAACGACATTGAGCTTACTTGGGTGACTTGAGGTCTCGGTGGATGATCTTGTGCTGGTGTAAGTAGTACATGCCGCTGGCAATCTGCTTGGCCCACTCCACCATGCGCATGGGGGGGATCTCCAGCCCCCTGCGGATGTTCTCGTACAGCTGGCCCTGAGGACAGTACTCCATGATGATGCAGTAACACGGAGCCTGCGTACACACACCCCTGGGGGGGGAGGAGAGGTAGATGAGAATGTGTACTGACTACTGCCTACTGACGACTGAAAATAACCTGCACCAGACAAATTTTACCTACACAACTTACCACCAATTTAGAAAGTATGGATCAAAGTAAAAACTGTTCAGAAACCATCAATATTATTTTTTTTCATACTTCAACATATAGTTGATTAGTCAATGCAGCAGATAAAAATCCACATACACCCACATGACATATAAACCCCGTACATGGACCAGTGCAGGTTAGATGCAGGTAGACATACCTGCACAGCTCCAATTTTACCTACACCAACCTGCATATAAAGGTAGTATTTCCAGCCAACTAACTGTACATTAAGGTTTAACTGTAGACTAATTGTAACTGTAACTGTGGCTAAAGTCATGAATACAGAACGTTATGGTCTACAACGTACTTGAACTTGATGATGTTGGGATGGTTGAGTTTTCTCAGGTGTCTGATCTCTGTCTCGGTCTCCTCCCGAACTTTCTTCACGGCGACCTTCTCCCCGTTGAGCGTTCCCAGGAACACGGCGCCCTGCGCTCCGCTCCCCAGCCACTGCAGGTTACAGATGTTCTCAAACGGAATCTCCCAGTCATCTGGAACAGAGGAAGGGTAAGAGACAAAACCTGCTTCATGGACCACAGAACACAGGATTCATACCCAACATTCAAACACTTACTCTGCTAATGTGGGGTCGTGTGGCATAACGGCAGAGCATTCAGCTCAGAACCAAGAGGTCCCGGGTTTGAATCCTGCCATGTCACCAACCTTGTGCCCTTGTGAAAGGCACTTAACACAACTTTCCTCACTTTGCTCAGGTGTCAATGAGTATGCCAGAATGATCATTATCATGGGCGGCCATTAACAGAAAAACCTAATGTTACACTTTGTACAGTTAACAGACACATTGGGAAAGGCACTCAATCAGTGTTCTAGCCAGCCTGAAATTTTTTCTGTCATCTCAATTTTGTTTAACATTATGACAAGTGCCAAAGGCACACCAGTCCTAAGGGGGGGTCCAAACTTTGAAATCTTGACCCTCTGAAATGCTGCTTTCTGCATCTCATAAGCAGCAAAATTCAGTCAAATGATGGAAAGACGGACGCTGGCTAGTACACTGCACTCAATATTCTACAATTGATTTAATGCATGATATATGATGTAGAAAAACCACTCTGTAAACGTCAGGAATAGTCTACATTTCTATCCAGTTTGTTATATGGACTGCCAGTGGTCAATTTATTACCAATTTTGTATGCACATAGTTAAATTTTATTTCCTGTCCACAAGGGCATGTAGAATTGTTAACTCATTATTAACTCAAGTGATGCAGAATTTCCTTCCACATTACTCATATTGGTTCTGTCATGCTGACTTTCGGTTGACTCGGAGGCACAAAGGAGAGCTGTAACATTAATTGATTTATACCCAGTTATAAATAGCCATTGACGTCAAAGCCTCGTTGTAGAACCCAGCGCTGGTCACGGGTTTAATTATGTATGATGCGCAGAGGATCAGTTTGCAGATTGTGATGTGGTTCTTTTGTTGTGTGTGTGTGTGACAGCCCAGCACTTTGGGCTGATCCCTTAACTCATGGAGTTGTACACAGGGGCGATGTCAGAGTGGGGGTTTATCTCAACCTACCGCTACATGAAACTTATCATTGTCAACTTTTTCTGTAAGTTGTACAGATCAAATGAAGGGCATCAGTTTTTTTTTTTAAATCAAATGAAAGGTAGAACATAAAAATATGTTCACTATAACAGTTATGATCTACTGAATATGGTTTATACAAACTTTACAATGCACTCTGAAAAGCAGCAGAATCATGGTCTTTCCTGTTTTTCTTGGTGGATGGTTCAACACTAAGCCAAATGTGTAAGCTACAAAATTAACCACTATCATTAGATATCACAACATGTTACATGATACTATGACGATGGTATATTGAGCTCTTAACTTTGTTCCAACACATAAAATACAGTTATATGAAAATCTATTAATATAGTGATGAGACTGTTCTTCTAGTGCCACAAATACACTAAGCTTTGATTGTTGGTAAAATGGTAACTCAACTTTACTTTTCAAAGACAGCACCATGAGTCACATGGAAGACATATGCTGTACTGCAACCTACCTCCATTTTTCAGTTCGTTGGTGGTAGCTTTCCCTATGATGGTCCAGACAGGCCTGAGGCAGCCCAGCAGCCCGTCAAACCAGCTGCCGCTGCGGTTGGCGCCGGTGTACTGCAGCTGCACGTTCTGCGCGTTGTCCGAGGACGAGGACTTCTCCCCAGGTGCACACTGGGACGTGCAGGGCGTGGTGCTGCGGTTCGGGTCTGTTTCATCGCTGTCCTCTATGCACAGTTTACTGCAAGAGACGACAGAAACAATTATTGCTGTGAATACTTATTTCATGAAGATTTACCACATTTGTGGAAGGACTGGGTGACAGGTGACTATCACCTCTTCAAGATGTCAGACGTGAGACCAGATGGCAAGGTTTGAACCACTCACTCCGGGAAGAACCGGGCCTACTCTTTTTATAAGTATGGTGGGGATCCTTAACTCTCCTCAACACCAGACCTTCAGCTTTACGGCAGCCCAAGAGAATGTCCCTATCAGAAGCTTGGGCTGGCATTTTCATCTGTGTAGAGTCAGGAAATACCTGTCAAGTGGACACAACAATGGGGCATGCCACTATCCCAGAACCTTTTGGATTCTGATTTAAAAACTGAGTTACTCTAACCACAAGACAACCTGCAAGAGCTGAATAATTCTAGCTTCTAGTCCATATATAATATTGCTTCTGTAAGAACCAACAGATGGAAACAGAAGCAGTTACAGGAGGGTCAAGAATAGCATTCACCAATTCTTTGTGGACACAAACTTGGATCAGACCAGCTTAATCACCATATGGAGGACAAAAAGATTAATGAAACTAGTCCGCAAAGGGTTTCAAATGATACAGTCAATGTTAGTAGCTGAGTTTTTCGAACATTCAAGAATCACACAAGAAGATTTCTGCAATTTTTACCTCGAAAAAAATTGCGTCTAGGGCATAAGAATATTATACAGCCATAGAGATGAAACACAACTACGCTGTACATTCATCTAAAGGTTAGACCTTGGAGACATACAACATGAAAGGTTACTGCAAACCACAGGCAACAACAAGGACTAACTAAACCAGTTCCAGGGACCACTGCATGAAATAGCAACCTGTGCTTGATAATACAAAGCATAGAATTCATACAACTCATACATATTGACCACCCACACATATATTAAGAAATATCATATTGTATGATCCATGTCAAGGATTCAAATATTGACTGTACATGATGTCCATTTCAGAGGGACTGGCTCTAGTCTAAAGAAAGAAGAAACAGAACTACGTCTATATATATACCTGCTTAATTACATACATTGTACATGATATGCCTCCTTGCTTCATATTTGCAAGATTCCCAACTGATAGAGCACATGTTACATAACAATCCAGCTGGTAGAAACGCAAGTTTTTTTACATACCCACATATCCAGAAGCGCCAAACCATGGCTGTTGTAGAAAGGATTCTTATCCTTTCAAGAACTTGTTTTGTGAGGTGTCATGGTTTCCAAAAGGTCACAGGGCAAATTATTTCCCTTGTGTTACCAAGGCATAGATCTCTCATGTCAGTGTTGCCATGGCAACTATTATATGAGGAACTACGCGGGCGATGGCTTAAGTGTGTGCTATGTGAGATGGCATGTCATTAACAGATATTTCTTATTCAAATGACAGCAATTCATTTTGTCGGATTACAATGCAATGTGCACCCAACACAACTGCGGGCAGTCCATCTTTTTTACCTGATTAGTTTAAGATGCTTTCTTTCCATTTTGTTTTATTTGTCATGCATTATTTCTTATCTATAAGGATGTGACTAAGAATGACTTAAATGTCATTATGTATTGTAAAGCATTAAATATGACATAACTTAGAAGCCATGCATAAATCGCAAAACAGGATGTTTCCTTTATATATTATATTTGACAAATGACAGGAACATAAGTGAACTTGAACTATTTCATTACAAGGATACTGTTCTCATTTCATATTAGTTTGAATATTCTATGCATCCTTTGATCAGGTTTGGCATGTCTACATTGTTCAAGCTCAGTGCTGGTAAAATGGATATTGACATATCATTCAATATTATTCAATGCTAGATGTGCAATAAATCTGTGACTCACTCTATACATTATGACATTCTACAATAATACATTGTAACTTGCAGGATAAGAATTACAGAACCAAAAATGAAAATTTCCTCTTTTCCTTATTTCTGAAGAATTTTGTTTTGCTATCCCATTTTGTATTAACTCAACTCCTGCTGGAAATACTGGATGCTGGGCCAGGTTCAAGTAGCTTTACTGAAGCTAAAATTAAACTATGATGATGAAAAAAAAAACTTCAGTTACTTCTCTCCACCGCTGTACCCTGTGGAACGACATCCTACCTTGAGGGAAGCCTCACAAATTCAATTCCAGAACTTGTCCTGAATGAACCCCAAAAAGAAGCAATCAATTGCGCTGCCCTTCCGACATCCCCGGTTTAATCCAAGGTCAGGACGCAGCCAGAATTCCGCTCGGCTGACAGAGAAATATCCCATTGAGAAACGGGTATTGATAATGCATTAAAACTCCTGCATACCAATGTTCCGACATGCTACACCTACTTCATGATCCAAGGTGCACCCTGCGTGGGTGGAGGCAATTTCCTGTGCGATAACTTCTCTGCATAAAACTTCTGAATGAAGGCCAAAATTAGCATATACCTTCCTGTGAACACCTATTCTGTTCATTCAGAAAAACGTATGTTACTTGTGTCAATGTTCAACCTTCAATGGATACTAAAGACTACTACTAAAGTCTTATGGATAAGAATTTTATACCAAGTTTTAATTACATACAGGGAACAATGCCTCCATTTTTCATGGAGGTAAAAATGGTAAGCACAATGGAATAAAATAGAATCCATCGGCTACGAAATGGTTAACCTTGGAATCAAACTACCTGAGCATACTGGCATATTCTGAACTGCAGAAACCACCCACACAGCAGTCAGATCTCGCAGGATTCCTGGTCAGGGTAGTCGGGACCAGAGCTGGCAGGACGTGGGCATGCAATATTGGATATTCCACCCACCAGAAACCCACTGGACTATTAAACAAACCAGCAGCTCCCCGCTAAAATACCAAACTATTCACCACATGCAGTTATTCAAGAGAATCACTACTATATATTTCACTGATATCAAGACTACATTGTGTATATTTCATCTATAGGAGATTGGAAACAAGGGCTTATGTGTGGGAAGGGTTTCTGAGAAAAAGATGTAGGTGATATGATTGAAACCATAATTATTTAAGTTAAGTATAATAATTAGAGTATGGGATGGATATTCAGTTGTAGAAACACAAGATTTAAGTGTTGGACTAGAAATGTGTCAAAGTATAATTTAATACTTTCTGGCCATATAGTTAAGGTTGAAATTGGAAAGAAAACTACTAAGTTTCTCATACTGCAAAGTAGCACAACATTGTCTGGCAATTGCTGCAAATAGAAAACATGATTTGAAATCTATCTTGCCTGGCCATAGCTCAGTTGGTATAAAAGATTATAAAACTTCTCAACACTCATGCATGTTGTAGAGAACAAATAGTTATAAGCATTTGATAAAGTGTGCAATAAAAATCTTTTTGTCTTTCACTATTCAGTGTGTATATACAAATCACAGCAACTGGAAGAAAAATTGCTTTGCACACTCACTTGCCCCTGAAGTTGGCCTTCTACATGTACATGTAACTTTGTTATTTTGTTACATTGTAAAACCCTTTTGTAAGGTCAAGTTAAACTCCCACATTTTAAATGTTAAGCTGGCTGAACTGAAAGGTTATTTTTGTCCCGTAACCAGATTATCAAAAAGTCAAGATGTGAAAGTTCATAAAATGCATTATGGGTATGCATCTATAAATATTTAATCGATATGAACTTTGAAATTGGTAAATTATTCATTTGGGCACAGTTGGCTTGACTGTTGTTTCTTTTTGTTTCCATAATTGAATACAAATGTTATGTTTGCTTTATGTACTTATTACATATATAGCGTACAAGAATATATCTTTCCAACAGTTAAAATCACAACTGCAACATACAGTGTAATAAAAATATGGAATAGTATACATGCAGCTTGTCCTCCAAAGAAAAATGTCTATAATATAAATTGAGGAATTGTTTTAATAGAACATACTTTCATGTCTCAAAAAAGTTATTCTTATAATACACAATTAAGAATATTGTGAATAAGACTTTGTGAGAACTTTCTTAATATCCCACTTTGTAATCTACGAAAATAGTTTCCCAGAAATGAAGTTCTAGTGCCTTTTCCAAGAGTTGGCCTAGGACCTGGGCCCCAGTTTCATTTTGTGAATGGGCTTGCCTTATGAATGGGCGCGAACACCAGGCAGAGCGAATTACCCCACAGGAAAGGGGCTGCCTGCCGCCATCAATGGGGTAGTGGTGCCATCAATCTCCCCACTCTGACGTCAATGCTGACACCAATTGCCAATGGCAATGAGTTTCTGAGCCACTCGATATGAGATATCGACCCGGAGGAGGGGAGCTGCTCCCGCAAAACAACTTCATTCAGCAATATTGTGCAAATATCGCTCACGTACCGCAAGCAAGACGCACCCCGGGAAGGGAAGAAATTTCCCACACCGCTTACGAAACGGGAAGAAAAACAAAACGAGAGAGCGTACTCACCAGCTGCCGGGGCAGTCCGGACAGCTACGCACAGAAAGCTTGGTCATAGTCCTGGGAAGAATTTTGACGTCGTGAGTGGGGGAATCCCCCAACTAGAACACATGCAAACAAGGCCAAACTCCGGTGTGTCAGGACAAGAAGCAGCCAGTTTCCCGCGCTGTCACGGAGACCGGAACATGCCAGGCCAAAAAAAAACGCTGACACCGGAATCAGAACCGTCAAAATTATTACATTAATAGCAGACAAACAACCGTCGGCAGCACCATCAGTGATAAAAACCACCAACAACCCTCGCCTCAATTGGCATTCATGAGATCTAAGCCTTGCAACACGCCAGCCAATCCCACGGCTTCTACCCGACCATGTGACCGAGTATTTATCTTCCTCTTATCTTGTCAATATTATAAAAAGGCTGCCTTCTTATTTCCCGTGGGCGTATTGACGTCACGAGACCATTAATCCGCCCTCAATATTCCGACGTCAAATCGATGGCATAGCGGCGTGAGGGGAATATCTAACGACGTTTCATTCATCTTTTGGCTGCATGAAGTGGCGGAGAAGCCGTTACTCAGATAAATGGGCCCCTAGATCAATAAAACCAGGGTGGTTGGCAAGCGTTACCTCTTTTATACCATCAAAACGCAAAATCTGCTTAACGCCAACTGTCACGTTAAGACGTGTAATGGAATTTCTTGACCAGTGGATGCATTAAGTTAACCCTCTGCCTGCTGAGATGGCCTTTTGGCACTAAATCTGTAGTGGTTACAGAGACAGTCCTCATGGAAGAAGTTAAAGGATACTAAGCTTTATTCTCTAACAACATCAAAGTTTTCAAAATCAAAGGTTTAAAATTAGTACGATGTTCCAAACCATTTCTATACAGTCAGCGGTACATACATGTAGACTGTTACATAATTTCTCATCAAACTGCAGTGGCAGAAACTAATATTGCACGTCGTAGACACTATTTCTGACAGTTTTTTATTTGAACCTTTGTTTATGAATGAGATGCTCAAATCTTTCCATTGCGGTCATGCGGTTAAAGAAGTAACTGCCAGACAAAATATATAACAAGGATACAGTTTACATCAGTAAAAAAATCTCTAAAACCAGGAAGCTGAGAGTTGCTTTTGGGCACAATTTTGTCTTCTGCATCCTTTTCTGTACACATCAGTATGACCAGCAATATTTCCCACCATTTGGCCCGAGCAACATCAACATCTCTCCAACCATTTGAGTGCACCTTTGATCTATAACGCTGTACTCTGAAGCTCTCTTCAAGGGCATGCCAGGACCGAGCAACCACATGCTCAGAGAGATGAAAGATTAAGAAGCAAAGTCCAGAAAAAAACTCATCATACCCCACTCACAACGAAGAGCCAACGTGACATTTACAGAAGGATAGCCGACAGATCAGCGAATCATTCCCAACGTCACATACTAATGCCATCCGTGTCCATATACATTTGTAAAACTTGACAGTAACAAGGTTACAGCTCCGTTATATATGACTGGATGGAATCGCAGTTGGAGAAGATTGCATTTTGAGTCTCTCCAAACCGAGTAGACACTGCCCCGTGATTTCATTATGAAAGATAATGCAGCTGGATGCAGGGGATGCAATTGTGGCATTTGTCATAATTGTTCAATCAGCTACGCAGATTTCAGTGACCCCATGGTATGTAAAAGGGAGCTCTGGTAAGATGGTTTAGTGTCAGAATTCAAGGATAAGAAAAAAGCAATTGTGCTAACAACCACGATCATAGACTTTAGTCGTGACTGGTAACTCTTGAAAAATACAACATGATTGTGAGTTTATGCATGTTGTGACCAGGGGTCGTCAGAAGTTGTCCTGCCCTGCTTCCAATTTGTTTGGAAATTTAAAGGACAGTGACCTTAACCTTTCCTAACCTTTTCAGTGTCAAAGCTGATTGGAACTGGGTATCCTAATCAGGCATGGTACTGGGAAGGTTAACTGGGGACTACAAAGACCATCCGTACTTACTAAAGGAAAGGATGGCGTGGGACAAACCATGCAAAACATTTATATACAGAGAAATATGGTACAAGGTGATATTTTTTCAAAATATACCACAGGGGATTTGAAAGCTTTGTAATGTTACATTTTGCAAATAAAAGGTTGAATAGACTCATGCTTTACGGACTAGCTCTAAACTGGAATCAACTTGCTAAAGGATACTGATAAATAGGGGAAAGGTGATACCATAATCACAGACATCAGCACGCATGTTCTCTCAGGGGTCACATCACCCATACCCGTACAGTTAAGCACCTCTGTTGTCATGGTAACAAGCACAGATAGGCATGATCACTTTGACATCTGATCTGTTGATGAACACATGACAAATGTGGGAATCTCTTTCTTTCCAATATCACTTCATTGACACTTACATAACCACTGATAAATACTGCTTTTTCAAAAGATAAAAAAAACTATCACTAAAGTGTATGTTCAAAGACTGGATACTACTACTTGCAAATTATCTTATGTAGTAAAGTACTGATTGTCAAAATGGTAATGCAAGAAACCTGCAGCTGTATACTGACATATCGCATGCATGTGGGTCAGAATGATAAAATTTCCCCATCCCACACAAATACAGGTAGATGTCAGCCATTGATAAGGAATCTCCATATCAACTTGCCATCCACCCACCACCCGTGGTGAGTGAATTTCTCATAAAAACTACACGCAGCTTGCGTGGGGGTGAAACACGAATTTTGGATCACGATGAATACATCTGTGACTAGTAAATAGGCTTCTAATACTGATCCTCCCACTGATTTTTTACCAGATCAACTGAGGTCAATATGCATGGTAAACCAGCACAGTATAGTAAAGTATCAGAAGTGCAGAAATGGTCGCTGTCCCTGGTGCTGACTTACCTTCCAACACCTAAGCTCTGCCATTAAAAATTAAAAGCTCTGTCTATCAAAAGAAAAAAAGACTGATACCTTTTCAATCACTATCTAATCACTAGTAGCCACTATCATGCATGGCCATATAAATGGGCATACTAATACTATCTCTACATGTGTATTTGGACATCATGATATATAAATTCAAGGGTTTTAAATATACTAGACTCGGTGATCATACAATTGGCATAGATGGACGTTAACCCCATCATGATTGGCAGGGAGGGACTTTGCCTGTCTGATTTCCTAATCTGACAGCTGTCCTCAGAGGTTTCAGGTAGACAAATCGAGGCGCCAATCAAGCATGGCAAACCTTGGTTACCATGGAGACCAGACACCCAAGGGGATACCTGCAGCAGTTTCATGGTTCAAAGGGACCAGTTCAAAGGGTCTTCATTTAATATTGGTAGAAAATGTCACTCACCAAAGTCTGATAACCTGTATCTAAGATATGGAATACCAGCTCTTGATACAACATTGCTATATTCATACACTGTACTGCTGTTAAAATATCATTTATGTAAATATGTGTAGTATTCAGTAGAGTGTCAGGCTGAATAAAAGTTCTAAACAGGAACTATGCGGCTTCAGATGTCTTACTCTTAGTTACTGAGGGACGACTGCATGTGCAAGATGTCAGTTAGCTTGAGGAATGAATCCACTCTACTATATATTTATGTAAATTTTAAGCGGAGCTTACCTGTTGGCGAAGTTCTCGGTGTCAGTGCTGGTGCTGAGTACGCCGGGACTCTTACATCGCTCGTTGACGTCGTTACTGGTGAGAATGTTCATGTGGGACGGGACGTTGCGGCTGTCGATGGGCGAGTCCTTGTGCAGGATGGCGTGGTCCGGTCGGTCGGCAACCGCCGTGGCCGCCATGACGGGTTCTGTGTGCATAGGTGGGAGGAGCGGCCAGCGCGTCACTCAACTACAAGCTGCTGTGCCCTGCAGGACGGAAAAACAACACAGACTTACCACGCTATTCCAACACAATTCAAACTCTACTACTGGATAAAATGCAGAGATTATTTCTGTACGTTTTGAATGACATCAATTGCTCTTCTTCCGCGTTACTAAAATTACCTGACATATTCTATATTTGTTTACCTGGATGTCCAACCATCAATGCACTACAGACCCTATGCACATGTAAGTATCTTGTACAAGATCAGACACCGGTGTCTACATAGCTGGGATGAGAGCATCCTCTCAGGGGGATCGTAGACATGCTGGCACCAGGCAAGACACAGGATCAAGTTCCAAAGAACACCTGCCATTACACATGGAAAAGCACTGATTTAGGCAGGGGTTGTCGCAACAGTTCTGGGCATGAGGGAAAACAGCATTGGTTCTTTCAGCTTTACAGGTGATGACATGCAAATTAGAAGGTAAATCATGGGGAAAGGCAGCACTAATCATAAAATTTAATGCAGTAAACCATTTAATATGCTTTGGTTCTTTTAGTCCAATAGAGACAATGACAATCAATGTAATATTGTCATCATTGTTGATGAAAAGTATTATAGTAACAACAACAAAAATGACACAACTTTTTGGCATTGGATAAATAAATAGATAAATAAATCAAACAAATAAGCCATCAGTACCATTCCAAAGCAATGTTATAGCTAAGCTTGTGCTAACTACATGTAAATACAAACATGGATGCCTTCCCCACATCAGACAAATAAACAGTATAACAAGAAACTTGAAACCATTCCAAAAATCTAGACAAACCAATGTCCCCACAAACTGCAAAAGAGCTCACTGACCTTTCTAAGGTAACTGTCCAAACTCACCAGTCATCAAGACTAGTACCCAAATTTAATACAGGATTCCACACACGTCCTGATTCCAGACTAACTTTATCAGACAAAGCCAGCTGGCCACATTGTCCTTAGCCTGGGTTCCAGACCCATAGCACACTGGACACAAATATCTCAGTGAGCCTGGGTCTGGTAGGGTCAGATAGACCTGCCACTCGAACGCTCAGTATCTGAGCGTAAGGCCCCATTGGTGGCACAGCAGGAAGCAATTCTACACCTCTGCTATGATTGGTTAAAAACTCCCAGCTGGATCTTTGAATCTTGCACACTGAGATATTTTGTGTCCAGTGTGCTTTGGGTCTGGCATCCAGGCCACGTTGTCCTGAGATCCAGACTAATACCAGTCCAAGGTGAAGGCTGATTATGTGGTCTGGTGCCTCGTGCAAGGATGCCACTAAAAGGCTTCCAAGGATTGTTATTCTACAGATTACAGAACCCTAATTTCCCCCTCCAGGCTCTTTCAGGACATGGTCAGGTTACTCAGTAACAAGGGTTTTTATCTCAGTGCCAGCAATAAGTATTTTACCATGCTCAATACTGACCAAAAGAGGCCATATATAGCAATAAAAGACTTCATGGAAACATTTTTATGAATTCATATGCCACCTGATACAACGTCCAATAGTGTAACCACCACAAATGGAATCTACGAAACAAAAAATGAAAAGGTCTACCATTCTGAAATGACCAGCTTGTATTACATTATGCAACAACAAATGAAGCGGCATGTTGTTTTATGAACAGGCTTACGAAGCAATAAATGAATACCAGTCACTTTGAAATAATATCCCGAAAGATCATGTCCTCAGTTCAATGGATCTCTTAACTCTGCCAACAAGAAGCATGGAAAATTTAAATACATATACATGTAAAATCATAACCCTTCGTTTCTATAATCTGCAGCACCACCATAATAAAATGCAATACATATAAATATGCAAATTTGTCACAATAGAACATCTCACTATCAATAATATCATACCTGTAAGTTGTTATTGAGACAAAACTCACTCCATCATATCTACTTTCCCCTCCAAATGATGTTGGGTACAAGTGACACAAAGCAAGGCGGCAACTCAGGCCACAAGGATATAGAGAACACACACAAAGCCAGCTGTTACTTCCCTGCCCTGTATATGGGTGGATTATATATCACAGGCGCACACAGGGCTGGATGGAAACCCAGGATTGCCCAGGGGGAACCACTGACTCTCATTTACAATCCCCACTGGGAGCAGGTGGTAATAAGATGGTTGATAACATTATGTATGAAAAACAACATTACCATATCTCACACAAGTCTACCAAAAATTAACACTCAAAACCATCTTCAAATTTTCAATACAGTACATTTCTATGGATGAAAAACAATATTACCATATCTCGCAGAAGTCTCACCAAGTATTAATACTCAAAACCATCTTCAAATTTTGACCTTAATGAAAAGCAGCCTGCAGGCCGATTTGAGCTTCATTCAAACAAACAAACAAGCGTATTATGGAAATAATTGAATGTATAACTGTTTACAATAAACAAATCCGATCATAAAAGCCACCTACGTTGTAAATATTTATCAGCACTAGAGCCAGCTTTCCCCAGCCTACCTACGCGAGTGGGCCAAGCAGATTGAATGGGCAGATAAACACACAGTTCCATAAACATTCATGGGGTTATTTTTAAGGGGAAGGCACTAACATGGGACGTGATTACATAGGAGGGAGGGTATGTGTCACCTGGTCCACTCAGTTTTACTCTCTCACCAGAGGTCGTCATAAAGGTCACATGGCGGCATTTTTTTATGGCGCCTGATCAACAATCTGCCGTTATTTCTGTGCCAATGTTTGTGCTTGGTTTACCTTGGCCTTCTGTGTTGAGAAGGTAAAAATTAACGATAGCCTAAAGTAGAAAATCACAGGCAGTGAGTGATGTTAGTGGCGTGACTGGGTGTAATTTGGCCACCATTCATAAGAACTCATTCAGATGACTGACAGGCACAAATGTGCATAAAAAGAGACGCCTGCTAAAAGCCCTGACTACATTAGCTCCAGCAGATGCACCCTATGTTGTCTATCTTTATCAATATTTCAGATGGTTCATTCTGCTTGGGGAAAGAAACGCCCACTCGTGTGTGTGTGGTATCAGTATGCTACATGGCTTCTTCATTTTCCTTACAAAATCAACACACATTCACTACTTCTGTCAATGACTCTTTGGCCTCCATTTTGCATGTACATGTAGATCTTTGCAGTTACTGCTTTATAAGTTAACTGTGCACACTACAGTAACTGTATATTTAGAAATGGTATTGTAGTTTTCACAAGTTTAAACTACACAAAAATCCCTTTTTACCAGTATTGCCTCAAGGAAAACTGAAACTGTCACCAAATCTGTCTGTATATGACAATTCCATATACATGTATACACTTTGACCCACAAATTGTGGCTACTTCCGCTGTGGCTAACCATATAGCAGTCGGGTCACACGTAGACGGTAAGGAACACCCCCGATATCCAAAATAACAGCCAGGAATGTGGAAGTGGGATGACTCCTCCCTGAACCGGAAGACAGCTGTGTACTGAATCAGGGTTTTTCAGCAGACGAGGTTACACATAGGGCAACCTGCTTTAGTTTTTCTGGCAGCCAAGGTTGCACACTGGCAGGCAACCTGGGTCAGACTTCAGGTTGCTAAGTGCTACCTGTGCTTTCTATTTGTAGCAATCCTCAATCAAGTCTTGAAAATATTGGGCATGAACTTTGCTGAGCCAAAACAATCAGTACACAGAATCCCTTGACTGTAATTTATCCCTCAAATTTCCCTCATACTTCATAATCATAGGATACATCTGTATACCGACATATACATGTAACTGTTCAGGGTTACATGCAAGTGTAATACAACAAGCGGGGTATGTTATGAAAATTGAGCAGATAATATCGACTTTCATCCCAAACATAATCCAAACCAACAGTTAGTAAGAGTAGCCATAAATTACATTATGACAGACGACATTTCTGTACAGCATGATTAAACACGATGACAGTAATATTACATAAAGATAACTGTATACTTGACAATGAACTCTGATGGTAAATGACCATCTTTAATCCAATCTACAACAAAGCAGGCTCAGTATAATTGCATTAGTAATTCTAGTTCCGAATGCAGTTGGCCTTGTATTCAACTGATGTTCATTATCATTTGCAAGTCTCAGTGGCAAAAATCAAGGGAAAGGCAATAATTATATTCTGCTATTTCAAAAACATGTCAATTCAGAATCTTACAGTTGATATGATTTGTTTTTTATACCAAGAAAACTCAATCAGAAACAAAGCCTCTTTTATGCACTCGTCCTAATGAATTGGGTTACTTTTCCATTAAAGTCGTTAGGAAAAGATGCGATAACATTACAGCAAAAATAACGATTCCAGGCAATGTGATTTTGGTGCATGCAATCAAAAATATTGCAGCAAAGTAATATCAAAATGTAGATATTGCAAAAGGCCATGAAATAAAATAAATTATAACTATACATGTATGCAGAACTTAGGAAAAACATGCACATGAAATTGAACAAACGTAGTAATACTAATATATGTAGAAATGACAAATCATATACAAAAGGCAACTTGCCAGAGGAAAAAATCAAATACCATAATCAAATCAAGGATCACTTTTGCTTACAATTACTGTTCTGTGAATGTATACATTTGTGCAGTGTTGGCAAAATGAATAACAAAGCTTTTTAACAGCCATGCATAGTAATGCTAACATTTATCAATTAAGACTATCACAGATACAAGCAAAAAATATCTGATCTTGCAAAACTCACACTTAAAATAAAACCACCAGAAGAAAAATCTTAACTATGATGATCATGTATATCTAATTTCAAAGAGATTTCTAGATAAGTACTTGTAATGTATGCAGGTAATTATAAGTGCACAAACTTCTTTAGCTGGAGATCTACTATATTGATAAACATATCCTCTAGCTAATGAAGGGCTTTGTTTCCGCTACACATGTAAATGGCAAACACTATCTGCATGTTAAATAGAGGCATATAAAAGTACTTTGTATTCTCTGCATGGGACGTCCCTTACATACAGTTCTGAGTTAC